TTCGCTCAAAGTTTATGAAATGTGTGCCAGAAATCGGATCTTCAATTAACCATTTTCTTTTTTCAAGTATTTTTATAACAGAAATTATTCTTTTTTATATTTTTATCTAGTCTCTGTAGTGTTGAATGGGGAGTGCTAAGGTAATTGAGGTTCACAGCCTTTCTTACTTTGGTGTTTTCTGTTTAGTGTTATTTGGGATTAGATTTTTTCTTTCCAAAAATCCTCAAGGATATCATTTTTATTTTCTGTAATTTTAAACTAAATTTAATCACTCCATTCTAGTCTCTGTAATGTTGAATCGAGAGTGCTAAGGCAATGGAGATTCCAAGTCTTCCATTGTTTTAGCGTTCTCTTTTTAGCGTTATTTGGGATTAGGTTCTTTTCAAAAAATTCTAGAGGACATAATTTTGATTTTCTGTCATTTTAATCTAAATTTCAAACAAATAATCACTCTATTCCAGTCTCTGTAATAGTTTTCTGTAGGGCATTGTCATAGGATTAAATCAAATTTTTTCTATCATTTTACTTTTTTTTTAATTATTCTCTAATTGCATTTAAATTTAAAAAAAGGCGTGAGGTATCATGTTTTTTAATAAACTTGTACCTTTTGTACTAAAACCATTCAAAATATTTTTAATTTTGTTCATGATTAATATAATAAAACTTAAATTTGATAATTTTAAAATAATGCATTTTGCACATCATTCATTTTATTTTCGAGTAAAGTAAATTCTCGTTGAAAATAACATTAACTCATATTTTCCTCATTTATTATAATTCAATCTCTATAGAGTTCTCTATACAGATTTATCTCGTTAAAGATACCTTAAATCTTTCTTGTTACCTATAATAGTAAATCTATGTAAATCTATCATTTTTGTGGCCTTGAGATGTCCGATGTGCAAGGTCTCAGTCGTAGTACCTTCTTCACTAACTGTTGCCTTAAGGTACTCTTGTCCTTAAGGCTGTTTCTGAGAAGGCACGACGATTGGTGCAGGCCTGGAACGAAGATTTTCTGGAAAAGGACAGTAGGATGGAGAGCATGGAACAAGATAAAATCAGGTATGTTATAAGATTTATTTCTTTTTATTATTTTCAACTAACGTATTTTTTCTGTTGTTTCAGGTTAGTGAGCGTATATTTTTGTACAAGGGATGCACATCGTGGGAATGCTCTGCAAAAAACGTAAGTTTTTTAAATGTACATTTTCTTGGTTATTTTTTCTGGTTTATTTGGTTGTTCGTTTATTTCCCTGGAGATGGCGTGAGCGCGGTCCTGCAGGAGCTAAAGTCACCTGTGGGGCCCCTCACAGAAGCGAAGCGGAGTGTTGAGTCGACCTCTGCAGGAGCTAAAGTCCCCTGTATGAGCGTCCTCACAGAAGCACGTTGGGTTGAGATCCACGGGGGCTAACGTCCTCTGTGGAGGCTCCTCACAGAAGCAAAGAACATGCTTTCCTCTCGAAAACAGCAGAGGTCCATTGGGTTGTTTTGTCCATCAGTATTTTTATTGGGTTGTTATGTCTGTCGGTTTTTCTTAAGAATGTATTTGATGTTCTTATAGCTCAGTTCATATTATCTAAGTTAAATTAAAATCTAGAAAATCTCTAAGAGTAATTTTTATTTTCTTAAATTAAATATATGTAGGTGTAGGTAATTTTCTTTAACTTCTTAATTTTTTTAACTCACTTTTATTTAATTATTACTACTTTAGAGTAAACGCATGTCAATATCTAGCATTTCGATAACTAAATGTTTCATACAAATAGTCTAAATTTATTTTTATATTTTCAATTCAAGTTCAGATATAATTCTAGGCCCCAAGAATCAAGTTTTTTAAGTTGTGTACTAGAGGTTTTTATGGCTTTCTAGGTCACTATTAGTATTAGTATTTTCTGTAATTTTAAACTAAATTTAATAGAATAATCATCCTATTCTAATCTCTGTAATGTTGAATCGAGGGTGCTAGGATAATGAGGATTCCAAGTCTTTTATTGTTTTAGTGTTTTCTTTTTAACGTTATTTGGGATTAGATTCTCTCTGACTTAAACTATTTAAAAAAAAACTTTTATTAACTATAATTAATATCATTCTTCATATTATCTTAGTCAAATTGAAATCTAGAAAATGTCTAACAGGTATTTTTATTTTCTTAAATTAAACGTGTAGGTGTAGGTAACTCTCTATAACTTCCTAATTTTTTAACTCACTTTCTTTTACTTATTACTACTTTAGAGTAAACGCATGCCAATATATAAGCAATTCAATAATTAAATTTTCAATAAAAATAGTCTAAATATGTTTTAAACTTATTTTTTGTATTTTCAATTCAAGTTCGGGTATGATTCTAGGGCCTAGAAAAAAGGAATCGAGTTTTTTCGTAGTGCAGTAGAAATTTTTAGGACTTTTTGAGGTCATCATTAGTTCAAGTTTAAATTTTTGAGGTTCAAAACTTAACAGGGTCATATCTAAGTCAGGTTTATTTTCTTACAAGAGTAGGTCTTGGCGCTCTACAAAGACTGATAGCCTCTATGAGCTTCCAGTTTGAGTCGACATCTTCAGATGATTTTTGTAGGGTTCTTGTGTCTTATAGGTTTGCCTGGTTGAAGATATACTTTGTTTGAAGCTGTATACAACAGGTCAGAGTCATGTCGGAGCCAAATTGAGGTCTACATAATCTCTATGGACATGGTTGTCTTTTTTTTGTTATTATTTTTTACAGGTATTGGTATGAGCTTTAGAGGGAACCACAACAGCCAGTTTGAGTCGATGCCTGCAGAATATTTTTGTGTGGTTCTTGTGTTTCATAGGTTCACATGGGTTGAAGTTCTACTACGTTTGATGTAGGAATGAGAATATAATGATCCACAAGTACGAGTCTTCCTAGAAACTACTGCAGCCTACTTGATTCAACGCCTTCAGATGATTATTGTATGGTTCTTCTTGTATCTTATGGATTTACGTTGATTGAACATCTACTTTGTTTGAAGCTGTATGCAACAGGTTTGAGGGTCATGTCGAAGCCAAATTGAAGTCTACAAAATTTCTATGTACATATATGATACTCTTTTGTTGCTTCTATTTTTTTACAGCAGTAGTTCCAGATGCTCTAGTACTATCAGTCTTTTGATGAGTCTCCAAGGAACCACAGCAGGGTCATTTTCAGTAGATATCGTTAAGGTCGTCTGCATGTATTACAAGTTCATATTGGTTCATGTTCAGTGTTTCAATTTTTTCAGCTCCAAGCTCTTCAGGGACTAACGTTTGTGTATGAGCTGCACTGTTAGGTATTGTCGATTGGTTGTTGCATATCCTTTTTTTCAGGGCGCTATATGTGGAATTTTTGGGAGGGTAGTGTTGAGTGCTGTGAAGATATCAGACAGATTTTGAGTGTGAAAAAAAATATTCAATGTAAAAAATATATAGTGATATATACTACAGGTAAGACAGGGAGACGCGATATCCCCAAAGCTGTTTACAGCAACACTAGAAGAAATCTTCCGTCAACTGGACTGGACCAATAAAGGATTGAAAATAGATGGGGAATATCTTATTAACAATCTAAGATTCGCTGATGACATAGTTCTAATTGTCAATAGTCCTGAAGAACTACAAGCCCAAATTAACGAACTAAATACAGCCAGCAGTAAAGTAGGTCTCAAAATTAATGTATCTTCTACAAGCAAAAACTAAAGTAATGTACAACGAACTAGTAGACAGAAAAGACATTCTAATAAATATCACAACACTAGAAATAGTAGAAGATTAAATATGTTTGGGACAATTAATACAGACCTCGGTATCTCTACCACCAGAATTCAACAGAAGAATTAAGTTAGCATGGAGTACTTATGGAAGAAACTCAATCATATTCAAATCCAGAATGCCACTTTATCTAAAGAAGAAAACATTCGACCAATGTGTACTACCAGTCATGACCTAGGCAGGCGAAACCTGGACAGTTAAAACGGACATTATAAAGAAACTGCCGGTCGCAGAACGCTCAATGGAACGAAATATTCTGGGAATAACCAAGAGAGACCATAAAAGAATAGAGTGGATACGACAAAAGACCCTCAAAAGTCAAATCCCTCAAGTGGCAATAGGTAGGATACCTGGCAATAAGGACGGACAACAGATGGGCCAGAAAAATTACAGCATGGTACCCACAAGGAATTAAGAGACCTAGAAGACCATGATATTAGGAAATTAGCGGGGATAACTTGAGCTCGCATAGCCAACAATAGACAACAATTGGCCCAACTACAAAGAGATTATCTAAATATGTGACGGAGGCTACACCATAGTGTTTGTTGAACAATCTGTTGATGATGACTACAGGTAAGAAAGTATCTTCTTACAGCTTCACAATTTTCTAGATTTTGAGATCTGTTTTTTTTATTTTTTAGATAAAATCATCTGCATCAAAATTGAAGTGTACAAATAAAATATATTGGATGTCTAAGTACGAAATTATTTTATGAAAAAAAAAACGTATAAATAAGTGGCAAATTTGTGAGTTATTTTGGTAAACCATAATATTTATTATTATAAGACAAAATTCTAGTTTATAATTATATTTGTATTTTTATAGTCATTATATCAATACTAATACTTTTTTTCTTTTTTGTATCAAACTTCCAGGGAATATTTATCGAAAATCTGAATCCAATTATATATTCCTTCACCATAAAGTCAAGAAAATCTTAGAAAACGGAAAAAAGAAATAAATATATGGACATGGATAGGATTAGAGGATAAAATTTTGAGATATTAGTAGCAGCTGCCAAATTGTTTTGGTTTTTCAAATAGCTACTCGCTACGGTGAGAACAACAATTATTACTTTATATTATTTTTTAACCTCTTATTGTTACCTTTTCTCAAGATTTGATATGAGCATATTAATAAACTCTTCAAAAAACTAATGTTTATTTAATATTTTTTTTTTTTTTTTTTCTGATTTTTTAATTTTTGCAAGAATTTGAAGATGGGAGGACGCCTGATACAATTATATAGTAAGAGGATAAAAACCAATAAACAAATTTATTGAAACAATAACAATATTAATGAAGCTAACGAACCTTGGTGAGGCATTGAGGAGTATTGAGTCTGCTTTATGTCGAGTGAAAGAGGAAAGTGAGGAGTAGGAGCAACTGTTGGGGATATCCATTGTTAAGAAAATGTAGAGATATCTAAAAAATAAAGTAAAAATAATATTAAAAAAAGGAATAACGATCTATGTAAATATTAAAATAAATATATTTTTATTAATGCAATAACTATGTTTTTTAAATTAATAATTTGTATATACCCTATGAGAAAAAAAACAGCATTATAGTGGCTTTTGAAATAATAATTATTGATGACAATTATTTCTGCCAGGTAGATCACAATATATCATTTATAAAAAATTAGTATAAAAATTAAATAATGAAATGTTAAAAAAATTCAAAGTTCATATTTTTTTAAATTTTGTATAATAATCGGTATGTTTGAAACCTTTTTCCTTTTTTTCATTTAAATATTATTTTTGACAAGTTTTTATATCGATATTTAATAAATAACATATAGAAATAGACGTTGACCTCAGAGACCTGTGCAGCTGGAATATTATGAAAACTTATCATAATTTTCAAGCTTGTCGATGAAGTTTAGTAAGAAAAAAGAGATAAATAACTTACCATTAATAAAAGACTGCGACCACTTTTCAACAGCTATTAAGTACAGTCCTAAATGGTCTTTCTAAGTCTTTTCTTGCAAGTTTCATTCCATTTAAAGCTTTTTGATGTCCACCATAATATTTACAGATAGTACGGCTTGTGGATTTTTAACAGCAATTGTCCCAGCTTATACCTAAAATTCCAAAAAAATATTAAGTAAATTTTAACTATACTAATTTTGGAAGATTTCTAAAAACAAGATTAATAAAAACAAAACAAAAAAGATTAATTAAAATTATATTTATTAAAATAGAAGAAAAATATTAAACGGCTCAGCCCTCAACAACTCGCAACCATTTTTTTTCTTGTTTATTAAAATATGTATATATTTATTGCGTTTATTCTAGTGGGAACATTAATATATCGTCAAGGTGTGTGTGACGAGTTCTGTAATTTTAAACCAAACAGTTTTGAATAGCGAACGTTGACAATTTGGCGAAGGATTTTTTTAAATAGTTAATTGTGTGTTGTAATCAGCGATAAATTGTGTGTATATAGTGCGAAAATAAATCCGTTAAGCATTTTATCGTCAGTTTAAATTAGTGGACAAACAGAATCCGTAACAATATGCAACCAGTAATACAGTATCAGCATTTTATTTTATCCTGCCTATTTTTAATAGTTGTTGGCTTTTCTAATATTGGAACAAAAGCGCTTGTATATATTTAAAAAAAAATTCAAGCTGTCCAATAAAATTAAAGGTAGATAAATAACTTACCATTGATGAAGAACTGGATCTCCTCTAACAGCTATTAAGTAACAGCAGTTCAAAATGGTTTTCCTTGATTTTTTTTTCTCAGGAGTTTCTCATTTCATTTAAATCTCTTTTATGACCACCATACATATTATTTGCAGCTAGTATGTCTTATCGGTGTCTAATAGTCATTGTCCTATCGTATGCCTAAATAAAAAAAAATATTAGGTAATTTTTTATTATAGCAATTTTTGAAGCTATCAGAAAACAGACAATAACATAAATTATGATAATATTTAGAACTATGTAACAACAAATAATAGACATTTTTATAATTTGAATAAGTTATAAAGAGTTGTATAAAATTAAAAACTTTTATTGATAACTTCAGAAATGATATAAAAAAAGTGTAAAATTCATGATAAAGAAAAATAACATTATTATAATGAGTTACTAATAATCCAAAAATAAATATCTAATTTACTAGATATATAGAAAAAGAAAAAAATAATATTTAGTAATAACTCGTAAATTTATTGTGTTATTTTGGTGATAACTTTAATAATTTTGAAATAAATTTAAAAATATGCAACCAGTAAAACACTGTTAGCATTTTATTTTTTCCACTTTAACTGGCCATAACTTTTTAATTTTTTGAGCTCTAATATTAATTAAAAAAACAATTATATTAGTTTTCCAGTCAAGTTTTAATGCGGTTTTATTATTATAAATGTCATACACTCTCAAGTATCACCCAGTTATTGGTAAAACTGTATATTTTTAAGTGAAATGTCCTAAAAATTAAAAAAAGAGAAATACATAATAATTTTGGTGTATTTTTTATTAAATTCTGATAAAACTATTACAATGAAAGGGCAGGAGTGTCTTTCAGAAATTAAAAAATGTGCCACCTAATATACTTTTAATGTATAGGGTCTTCCATTTAAAAAATACACATTAAAACTTGAGCTAAAACTTTATAATTTCTTTTTTTTAATGAATGTTCTAGCTTCTAAAATAAAAAAAAGTTAAAACCTGTTAAAATTTAGAACAAAATAAAATGCTAACACTGTACAAACTGCAGAGTATGAATATTCTGCAAAATTTAATAATTTTACAGAATTTTCAAGCTTATCAATGCCAATTCATAAAAATATATAGAGAGTATTTCACGTAACTAGCTCATTAAAAGTGTTTTAAGATGAAATTTAGTCTAAATTAAACTAGTTATAGACTTTAGAGAAAAATATATACCCTGAAAAACTTTTAATGAACCAGTTGTATGAAAATCTCCTCTGTATATAAAATGATCAAAATAACTTACCATTATTAAAAGGTAACAGATGTCGAGCCCAACCCTGGTTCTATTAACTTTACATCCTGAAACGACTGACATTTTTCTGTATCCAATCAAATATTTTCCTTCAAAGCTGCAATTTGTTCGTTGAGTTGTGACAGCAGCTGTAAAAATTTCCATTACGATCAATTTCTTCAGCTCACTAAAAGCACAAAAAAAATAAAATATAAAAAATTTAAATAGGTGATAAAAAAAATTATGACGTCAGTTTGTTCATACTAAATTTATCGTAATTTTCAACCTTGTCAAAGAAATTTAATAAAAAAAAATAAAATAAATAAATCAGACGTCTAAATGCAAAACCCGAAAATTGAGATCTATAGACCATTTAATTCATTATCCCAAGAGAAACTCTGAATTACATTTTTATGCAAGATATTTTCAAGAAATAATACACCAGATAAATTCAGTCAGGTAGATTTATTATTCTTTCTACTATTCATAATATTTTAAAAAATTTTTAGTGTATTTTGTAAAATTGATTTCAGTGGACTTGTCAGGTTTTGCATTTAGACGCCTGAAATAACTTACCATTGATGAAGGACTGCATCCACTCTAACAGCTATTAAGTACAGTCCTAAATGGTCTTTCTGAGTCTTTTTCTGCAAGTTTCATTCCATTTAAAGTTTTTTGATGTCCGCCATAATATATTATTTGCAACTAGTACTACTTGTTGACTTCTAACAGCAACTGTCCCATTGTATACCTAAAATTCAAAAAAAGTATTAAGTAATTTTTTAATGAATCAATTTTTAAAGATTTTTGAAAACAAAAAAAATATATTAATATTTAGAACTTGTTTAGAACTATGTAAAATCATAAATATACGGCTATTATACCAATTTAAATAAGTCACAAACAATAAAGATCTTAAATGGACTCTAATAAAAAATAATTATAATTTTTATATTAATATTTACGGTTTTAACGATCGAAAAAAATATAAATAAGGTATCTGCTGTACTAAAAATATCAAAATAAAAAATCAACTTATATTTACCAATACCGTAATTTTATTGCTTATCTTAGTGGAAATTTTAACTAATTATTAAAAACCAGATTTAAAAACTGCATTTTTTTCCAGATCGCTATATATGCAACTAGTAATACAGGGTCTGTATTTTTATTTTTTGTCCTGCCTTTAATGATTTTTTTATTATTGTTTTAGTTCACAAAAGAAAATAGAAATAGAGCCTGTTAATATTGAGCCAAAAGAGCTTGAATACGATGGAAAATTTAATATTTTTATAAGATTTTTAAATTTTATAAGAATAAGTTGAGAGGCATAACTTACCATTATTAAAAGGCAACAGGTATTGAAGTCAATCCAGTAAATAGCATTTTTCTGTGTCCATTAAAGATTTTCCATTAAAACTGGAACTTGGACTGGAAACAGCTGTCAAAACGTCCATTAATACCAATTTGTATTGCTTACTAAAAATACAAAAAATAAATAAGCAAATTTTTATAAAGTCAGTTTCTTCACATTTTGGAATAAAAAAATATGTGTTTTTTAATATGTTAGGTAGATATTAAAAAAATAAACATAATAGTAACTCTTTAAAATATTTCAAATATTCATAGATTTTTACAAAAAGAAAACATACTAAATAAAATTAAAATAGTCTGATACAAATTTGTAAATAACTACAGAGATTGAAAAAAATATATTAATATATTTTCAATCTCAAACTTATTTTATTTTGAATTTGAAGCCTACAATTTTGTAGTTAAATACAAATGTTATAGCCTTAAAAAATAATAATAAAAATAACTTACCATTTTCATAGCACAATGGTAATGAAGGCCAATCAATCCAAATACTATTGATTGTATCTTGAAATTGTCATTTGTAGGTAAAAAATTCAGTATCATTCCATTCAAAAAATTCCTCCGGCATTCATCAAACTTATGTACAGTTCTAACTCATTTGCAGATTTGTAACATCAAACTGTTAACGCCCAGTACATCACTCGAACAGATATCTAAAAATAAAAAAATAAACAAATATTAATAAGTATATTAATTTGTATTAATGTAGGAAATTAAAATTAATAAGAAAACATTGTAATATCAATATAGATAGGCAAAATAAAAAATAAGTTGATTTGAATAAAAAAATTCTCCTAATAAATTTAAAATTAAATATTGCACCTAAAGTTATTGAAATATACACATTGTGTGTAAAATATGTCATAACTTCCAAGCTTTCCAAAAACTTTAATAGGAACGAAAATAATGTGAAAAAAACTTACCATTTTTGAGAGATATCTGCGTTGTTGAAGTCAATTTAATGTCCTGTATCTACTGTAGAATAAATTGGTCATTTGTGAGCCTTTTCGCAGTTTAAATTATGCCAAAACTTCTTTGGTGTTTCTAATAATTCATCCAAGTTGTTATAACAGCTGCCATTCTACATTTCCACTAATAGATATGCTTGTATAATACACAAATAAATGAAACTTGATGTCCAAGATACCAATAACATCTATAAATAAAATAAAAGTTGTGATAAGTATTTACTTTTTGTAACTAGATGAAAAAAATTACCTTAATACAGTTGCTCCAAATTTCATTCAAAAAACTTCCGTTACAGCCAACAAAATCCTCCTCCTTTCCTCAAACATCTTCTCTCTCCTTTCCTTCTATTTCAAAGCAATCCTCTTCTCTGTCCTCTTCTATTTTCCAAGTTTCACCAATTCTTAATTCAACCACTTATATAACTAATTTATACAAATTTCAGGCGTCTTACAAACATTTTTTAAAAAGGGGGAAAAGGGATCTAATGCTACAACAAACGACTACGCTAGCGCACCTACCTAAAAAAAGAAAAACACTTTTTTTAGCCAAAGAAAGTGATAAATATAAAGTTATATAAATTTACCTGATGGCATCTAGAAGATGGCGCTAATCCTGCTGTTGTCCCCCAAAAAAATTCATTCCAAAGCAGTATAGTACTAAAAAGATTTATGCAGGAACAAACAGAATTTAATTTTAGTAACAAAAATAAATTACTAATACTTTAATTCTCATTATAATGTAAAATTACATTATTTACTAATTTACGTTTAATTAAAAATCACTAAAAAAAATTAAATAATATCAATATTAAAACAAGACGAAAAATAGTTATTTCCAACTGTAATAGAAAAACAATATGCTACCTAATTTTGTCTCTTTGGAGTTATTTTTTATTACCCATTTATTATTGCTAAAAAAACTTTATATTAAAGCCTTGTATAGAGTAAGAAAAAAAGTAAAAATGAATGTAAAAATTGCAAATTAAAAATGAGTACTTAATGCAACATTCTGTAAATGTAGGGAACCTAAAGTTACTGCTTTGGAACCACGACGCGAACCGACTTTTGAAGTTCTCCAAGCCATACTGTATCACCTGTAAGAGAAAAAAAATAATATTAGAATATTTCTAGCAAATACATATGCTAGAAGAAACAAAAAAACAAGCTATAGACAACAAAAAAAACCAATGTAAAAATATAAAAACTCACCATTACATCTTGCTTAAGTTCATTTTCAGTCCCATCATAATAATTAATAATTATACGGCGAAAAAAACAGTGGCGTCTCACTGCTATGGGGCACATCAAATATCCCCAACTCCATGGACTTCGGTCGATCCTGTAGAGTTGACAATAAACACGTTTTCCAGGTATGCGACGGTGCCTGGAACAATCCGAATTTTTTTGGGACTGATCATATGCAGCATGTAGATAGAATTTCTGACTTCTTCAATCTTGTTTTTTAAAATCGCGCTGCGAACCCGGATTGTCCTAAAAAAATGAAAATAAATTAGTTATATAAGTAACTATACAAGTTAAATTAGAATTTAAACTTATATCTACTATAAGTTTTAAAAAAGTTGATCTAATTATTATACAAGTTATTCTACTTTAAATTGAAGCTCATGTATGTTGTAACAAAAAAACTAAAATATACAACACTTATATAAAAAGTATTTTGATTGCTACATGGTGCGATAAAAAAGTTATTTGGTAGGGAGTACAGTAAAAGTTTACAATTTAATCTAATATAAAAAAATTAGACTTACTTTTAACAGGTTTAAGTAAGGCCTGGTTATGCTCGCCTCCTCCCGACATTTTCTGCCTTCAAAATTCGACGCGGGGCAGACCAAGAGAAAAAACAAAAAATGTTTCCACGACCCGCCTGTGAGTGTGTGCTGGTTGCCTTCCTTATGCAGATTCGACCCATTGGTCGACGATTAAGCCTCACCAGTCAGTTCCCATCCCAATTAAGCCGCCTCGTCTGGGGTCACCCTCGTCACCCGTCGGACGGACATCCACCGGGACCCCCTACAGGCGGACCCTCATCATCTTCAATGTGTCCGATATCCCGCCCCCTGCCTCTTCGAGGGTCACGGAATACGTGCACGAAGAAGTCTCGGAGCTTGATTGCCAGGTTGTATCCGGCCGAAGCCTCTAGCATTAGAACACCTAGCTTGTAAACCAGAGGGTGGTGACTCCCTTGGGTACCTCTGCATGCTACACAGGTCATCGATGCCCGAACATCAGGGTTAGGGGTGACCCAAGAAGTCTCCTCTCTCTTGGGGAGGCCGCGCCGCCTCTCTGAGTCATCTTAAGCCGGGGATCCATCGACAAAAACACTGTTAACCAACTGCATCGGCTAACGAAATTCACTAATGTTGAATTAGGAAATTTTATTAACCAACACAGAGAGCTAGCAATGCTCGTGTGAGTGGGGAAGGAGTGTGTGGTGTAGTATTAATATAACGCGCCTAAAAAAAGAAAAAATATTGGGATACCTATAAAAATATTATCGAACACCTATAAAAATGTTACGACAATATATAAATAGGTATATTTATTTTAAATGAAAAAAGATATGGAAAAAAGAGATGCTCCATTTATACCTCAGCAATATTTTATAAGATTTTTCCTTGATTATATTATTATACCAAAAATGTCAAAAATATAAAGATGTTATATGATCTAGGGAAAAAGAGATATAAATTTGATGAATATGGTCAAAAATCAAAGAATTTTTCCATGATGTAACACATAAAAAATAAAAATATACAAGGAGTTTTTAGAGTTGTAACATATTATTTAGAGCTAAAAGTTAAACCTACAGTGTTTCGAATAAATAAAAAATATTAAAGTTATAATTTTTTTTAACAATGAGACATCCTATATATTTTATTACATTTTTAGTTTCTAGTATGAAGACATAAAAAACATTCGATCAAAATTTACCTCAAAATAAGCATACTTTCTGTGTTCGAAATATTTTAATTTTTATAAAAATTCAGTAACAACTGATTTATTTCTTCAATGCAAATTTACAACTAATACTGAATTAGCAAAAATCATTTGTCAACATTAATACTATTTTTTAACATGTAATATTACATAATGCTCTTTAAAAGAGAAATATATTTTAAAATACCAATATCTGAAATCATTACAAAAATGCTGAGACATACATAAATATGTGAGATTCTTAAATAAAAAAAATAGGTAATAAACTTCCTAATGAACATAGCTATATGAAACTTATACAAAAAAACCTACTCATTCAAAATATTCTTAAAATGCGCATATTATATATTTAAACGATAAAGAAAACTCTAAATATGCCCTATAAAAAGAAATTTAAATTAAAAATAGCAATTTACAAAAAATCAAGACATTGAATTCCAAGAGGCGGCCATTTTATTTAAACATTTCTTGACCGAAAAAATTAAACAAAAAATCAAAGATACATTACGTAATTTACCAAAAATGTAGTACTATTATTTTACCCTTATGTAACACGCAGTATAGAAAGTACCGAAAATACATAGTTTTACATACTTATTTATTAATCTACGTATATTATTTAAACAATATTCTTAAAAATTAATAAGTCAATGGGGAACATTGAGAAGAAAGCAGCCATGATGGATATTGCGAAATCCAAAAATTTTGAACTAAAATATCTCAAAAAATACATAAAATTACGGGTACTCACTTTTTCAGGAGGCTAAGCAGGGCACTAGTAACAGATTACGCATAAATTGTGTACACTAAACGCACTTTTTCGTTAGAAAATTTAAAAAAATCGATGCAACGAACGGGAGGACGTGCGAATCCTTCTATTGCAAACGACCAAAGGATGACCGGCGTTGCCAGATTAAAGTGATTCGTAAAATTTAAGCTGCTCATAAAATTAATTTATTTATTACTAATAAAATTGTTTATAGGAAAATTCTTGTAAATTAAGTTTAATTTCGTTCTCAAAAGTTATTATTTACTCAATACGTTCCACTAAAATCGTTTTTTACGTAAGGTAAAATATTTTTATTGTCATAAATAAGAAATAAATAAGTAATTATAAACATAAACACACAAAAATCATAAAATAAACATAAAATGAAGCTGTTTAAATACATTTTTAATGCTATAAATACATCGAAACCAAGAAGAAAGACTATAATGTTAGTACGTAATTACAAGAAGAAATAAAAGAAATTTCTACAAAACAACATTACTGGTACTTGTTTTATTAAAAATATATAGAAAATGCCCTTACTATAGTGCCACTGATCAATTTAAACTAATATAAATTCACAAAAATCACATAGAGAAAAAGATTTGCGACATTTTTTAACAATCCGGCAACATTGAACGAGAATAAAATTCAAAACCTCCACGCAACCGAAACTGACCAATCACGATCGAGCATTTTTTGCTCTTGGATGCCTAGATTTTAATTTTTTTTTAATAAACAGATGGTTTTTATTAAAATTTCAGTAGAATAATATGCTTCCACAGATGCTTCTTAAATTAATTAAACGATTTGTCTTTATTTGTATTTATTCCCTCCAGTATAAAATATCATACAAAACTTATTTTATATTGAAATTATCTAGTACCAAACTGGTACGCACACATTAGATGAACTATAAAATCATGCATTTCTTTAATATTTTAATAAATTATTAAGAAACAAGTGTTTTTATTCAATAAATATCCTTTAGTTTAATAAGAAACTAATTCTATATAGTTAAAAAGTAAGAAATATGAGATAAATTATATAAAGAAACTTCGTAAGTCTTTAACTTGACTCAATGTTGACAGCTCTTACCGGATGTATCTGTTCAACTTTTGGCGCCACAATTTTCAAATTTGAAATTTAATTAAGCTGAAAAATCCTTTATTTACAAGAAAAAATATATTGATAAGTACAAATTATGAGCGAAAAAACGGCGTCCAGTTGGCTGGGAAATGACGATTGAATACATTTGCCATAAATTTACATATAAAATGACAGCGATCATTCATAGTCATCGCTGGCGCTATTTTTTTTTCGATCATATATTACGGTATTATTTATATTATTATTTTAATATTTCGCACAACACGTGAACGCTTATTATGTATTTTCATAGTCAATAAAATTAAATAGAAATAAAACTTTAGATTCCTCTAATTAATCTAATTTCTTAGATTATTTGTGTTATTATACTACGTTTAAAAAGTGCTTTATTAAAAACTCGGGAAATTAAAAGCGATATGTGTCCAAGTTTCTTCTTTTTTTTAATTTTTAAATGCTGTAGCTCCATATCATGTTCATAATAGGTTTAATTAAAACTCTAGAATCAGCTTCAGCAACATTAACAGTTACCTTGTTAAGATTTTTCTATTCTTACACCTAATTTATGTGATTTTCTTAGCATATATGATTTATAAACCATATTTTTCCTAATGGAAGGATGGAAGGATCTCCTCTTGCATTTAAGATATTTTAACATTTATTTTCCAGACAAAGCGTACTATAGTATTAAGGTTAAGACATAATTAATATTAAGAAAGATCGTAATATAAATCACAAACTCACTAAATCTTATCCTTTATTAAGTTAGTCTAGTACTGTGGTCTAGTATAAACACAGGTATAAAACTAATAAGATCAAAACTCAACTTTCACCATATTGTCAAGATTTGGCATTATAGGAAACAAGAAATTACAGTAATTTCGAAAAGAAAATCAAAGTACACGATATTAAATACTGTAATGTATTTTACGACACTCTATCTCCCATTGACGTGTGTATTGTTCTATAAGACTCGTCATGGTAGTACTATTCAATCATAAATCAAATATAAATGATTTATTAATCAAAAAAATTTTAGATATACTTATAAGTCCTGATGCATATTGTAGGTAATATTCATCAAGAAGGATAAATCTACTGCCCTGGAACTGTATAGTCATCGATTTGTTGTACAGAATCTGTAAAAAAAGAAATAAACAGTGTTATATTTCATTATAATTTATATCTACATATTTTACAAAATGCTACAATATTAGAAGTTTAAATATATTTGGTTAAAAAATATTTTAGTATAATTTACCTCAAAATATTTAGTTCCTCTTCAATGCTCAATTTGATAACCAGAGGGTGGTGACTCCCTTGGGTATCTATGCATGCTACATAGGTCATCGATGGCCGAACATCAGGGTTAGGGGGCGACCCGGGTCTGCTCCTCTTTCGGAAGGCTAGCATGATGCTCTGGAGTCGATGTTACTCAGGAAAATGCATTAGCAAAATGCTAGAAAAGCCAGAAGTGACATCATCTGTGGACGTCAGTTTTTTACTAAAAGGCGAATGCGCCAGGAATTGATCGGAAATTAATCCTGATTGTGAGATTTTTAAGTGCTATCGTGTTTAAATTATATTTAAAGACATACAAAATAAACAAATAAAATCCGTAAAATTACAGAGATTCATGGCATATGATTTGAGGAAAATGACATGGAAATGGATCCATTAAAACTGAAATTCTGTACAAGGAATTAAAAGAGCAAAAAAAGTATTAGAAAAATGACTCCATAAGAAAACTAATACAAATAAAAGAAGACTTATTGAAATACCTACAACCAATGGAAGATATTATAGAATCGATGAATGATGTTTCCCACAATGAAGAAAATATGAGAGCCGAACTATTATAGAAAAATGACTGTTAACCATAAACAAAATGAAGTAAAATTCTAAGTAGATGGAATATTGTACCAAACAAAACCTATAGAAATACAGGCAATGGATCGAATATTTTATAAAAACGATAAATAAAATTATTTCCATAATCAAGAAAACGTGGGAGTGAAGCTATAATAGAGATGATAATGAGGAACCATAAAAAATACAACCCTTGATTATACAGACAAGGATATAACTCAGAAAACCATTAAAATTTTTTCTTAATTAAATTTCAAAATTATGAAATCTACTGATGAACATTAAAAACCAGTAAAAATATATTTATTTACCCAAAAGAAATAAAATTTTAGATATACTTATAAGTCCTGATGCATTGTTGGTAATATTAATGAAAAGGATACATAAATGTACTGCCGTGGAACTGTATACATCCATCGATTTGTTGTAGAAAATCTGTAAAAAAGAAATAAATATTATTAGATTTTATTAATTATGCTATAATAATTAAATTAATACTACATAATAATATAATATAAATAATAATAATTATTTTTTGTTTCATATTAATATTAAATAAATCTTAAAAAATATAGTTAGCCAGTTAATAAACACTTAATGAATTTATTAAAGTTATTTTTAAAAATTGGACTTACATTTATAGGGATAAAGAAAAACCAATTCGTAAAACAGAACTATGGCCAAACATTGGGAAAATCAGGATTATTCAAGAGGTGATCCAAGTCTCTTCTTTTAGGTCTTTATGTGGTGGTGTGTATTATTAATAGGTAACGCTTCTAAAAAAGAAAATTATAATTAAACATTATATTAAAACAATACAAAATTGTTAACAAATATATGACGACAATAAAATAGTATTAGCACACACATTTTATTTTATTTGAAAGTATTATAGATTATTAAGAACGGTGGCCTCTTAAGGTATACTAACAACGACTTATTTAAAGACGTAGAAAATACTTGTATGGCTGCACGAATAAACGCCTAAAAAATTACGAGTAAAAAACATCTTTAAACTCTATGCAAAAAAAAATGGTCCAAAAGATACCAACTATCTCTAAATATTGAGCATTATTTTAAGTAACTGTATGTTTAATGATTAATAGGGACATCAATGAGAGTATTTATATTTCCATATACTCAATTTAGAAAAAGGAAATTATGAAAATAGGAAAAATGTATCAGCTTTTAATGATGTAATTCAAATATTTGAAAGTGAAAGAAACTATAGAAATCCGACAAACTAATGGGTACTTACATTTTTAGAAGATTAAACAGGCCTTAAGGAACAGAATACACTCAAATAGTGTACAGAAAAATCACTTTTTCTACCAAAAAATAAGAAAAATTGTAAGAGCGACTCCTGCAAACAAAGGAAAATGTCGTGTGTCAACGTTGTCAGATTGAGCACATGTAAAACAGAATGATAATTTTTTGTTGCATAAATAATTATGTGTCTACAAGAAAATATATTATGTATTCTATCGAAACGAAGTTTGTGTTATATGTTCATTACATTTATCATGATTTTGTAACGGTTAATTTAATTTTAAACTTACAAAAATATTTAGATTTTTTTTAGGATTTCGTTAATATCATGGCAACCTTGGAAACGTTTTAGTTCATAATTTTCCCACTTTTTCCACAATGGCGCCACCTACGTTCTTCTTCTATTTTGTTTTTCAGGTCTGAACAGAACGGTAACCACAGAATAAAGGCTATATTCTTCTTCTTTTCATATTTCTGGTTCTGAACATAGTCACCCACAGATTCGTCATATATTTTTTTCTTCTTTATTTTTATATGGCTCGAACTTATGGGTCATTTTGCCAGTATCCAGAAAAAAATAATCAAAAGGAGAGAACTGAAACTATAATCTTTGGACAATAAATTGACATTTAAAGACGCCAAGCAAATGTGTTTTTGTGATTTTTTCGGTTTATAAACTATTTTTCCCGTAAATTAATTTCGCCAATCGATATTGTGTGTATGTAACTCTCAAAATGTCTTTGGTGTGCGCTAGTAAGTACTCCCACATTCGTTATTTCTTTAATATCTAAACAGTTTTAAGTACCGGCAACGACTAACCTTACAATTTCTAGTTTCTAACGAAGTACCCGATCATCCAGTGGTTTCTCCCTCGTCAGGAGCCGTTTTCGAGAAAAGAATAATCGAAAAATACATCCAAGAAAACGGGGTCGACCCTATCACCGGCAAAGAACTCACCCCAGATGAACTAATCGAGATCAAAAGTAATGCCTTTATACCTTCAAAAACCTCGATGTTTCTTTAACGAAAACGATTTTTTTAGCTCCACCAATTGTTAAACCTAAACCTCCAAACGCTACAAGCATTCCAGCTACTTTAAAACTACTCCAAGATGAATGGGATGCCGTTATGTTATACAGTTTCACACAGAGACAACAATTACAAACAGCTCGTCAAGAATTAAGTCACGCTTTGTACCAGCACGACGCGGCATGTCGTGTTATTGCTAGATTAAACAAGGAAGTGACAGCGGCTAGGGAAGCCTTGGCTACTTTGAAACCTCAAGCAGGAATCACTGCAGTACCTCAACCTGTAATTAAGTTTTTTTGAGTACATTTCAGAGGCTAAAATGAGTCTTTTTCTAGGCTGTTGCTGCTGAACCTTCAGGTATAGCAGCCCAACCAGTAGAACAAGCTGGTATGAGTGGAGAAGTTATACAAAAATTGCAGGAAAAAGCCACAGTACTTACTCAAGAACGAAAAAAACGAGGAAGGACAGTACCAGAAGAATTAGTGACACAGGATCAGATCAGATCCTTCAAAACTCTAGCTTCCCTTATTGTAAGATACTTTTTTACCTTTTTTAGTAGTTATTAAGGTACTAAACTTTTTTATCTATACAGGGTTTGCATTCAGCTAGTATTCCTGGAATATTAGCTCTAGATGTTCACTCTTCGGATAGCAGCAAGGTTTTAACAGGAGGAAATGATAAAAATGCTACAGTTTTTAATAAAGATACTGAGCAAGTGGTTGCTATTTTGAAAGGACACACTAAGAAAGTTACTAAAGTTATTTATCACTCGAATGAAGACATTGTTTTAACAGGTTAGTGAAATTATTTAAATCTATTGACGTAGTATTATACATACTATTAAAAATTGGCTAAAATTGTCCCTGATGACATCTCTTTTTTTTAATAAACAGATAATTTAACATCACAGATTTTGCTCCATTATATGGACGTTAGGCGTCCTTGTAATATTTTTTAAACTGTGTTTTAGCTTCACCTGATTCTACTATTCGAATCTGGAACGTGCCAACATCCCAAACAACTCTTTTATTAAGATGCCACGATGGACCTGTGACAGGGTTGTCACTTCATCCGACAGGGGACTATGTTTTATCTACGTCAGAGGATCAACACTGGGCGTTTTCTGATATAAACACAGGAAGATTATTGACTAAAAGTAACTTAATAAATATGAGTCTCTATTTCTATTAATAATTTTTAAAATTACAGTTTCAGACAATTCAAATGTACCATTGACCACAGCCCAGCTTCACCCAGATGGTCTTATTTTTGGTACCGGTACCGCAGATTCTCAGGTGAAAATCTGGGATCTTAAAGAGCAAAGCAACGTCGCCAACTTTACTGGTATGTATATTGAATTTTTTTTTTATTTTCAAAATAATGTTTAACAAAGGGATTGGCCTGTTTTAAAATGAGTTTTTAAGTGTTACGATCAGTTTTTTACATGTAAAAAACATAGTTTTTACTGCTTTTACATGCCCGTTCTTGAGTTTTTACGTTTTTTAGGTCATTCTGGTGCTATAACTACGATTTCCTTCTCCGAAAACGGATACTATCTGGCAACAGCAGCTGACGACGCTTGCGTCAAGCTGTGGGATTTACGGAAACTGAAAAATTTCAAGACTTTACAGCTGGACGAAGGCTATCAGATTAAGGACTTGTGCTTTGACCAAAGCGGTACTTATTTGGGAGTGGCTGGTACAGATGTTAGGTATAACCGATATTTTAATGTAAAATTTTACAGTGTAAATTAATTATATTTCGTTTTTTTCCGCAGGGTATACTTGTGTAAACAATGGCAGGAATTAAAAGTTTTTAACGATCACACTGCTACAGCTACTGGTGTGAGATTTGGCAAGCACGCGCGATTTGTAGCGTCCACATCGATGGACAGGACGCTGAAATTATACGGTTTAGACTAATTAAGTAATTATGAGTTATTTTAAGACATAATTTGAAAATACAGTTATATAAGTAATATTTTATTTCCATTGTTTGATCGTATTTCAGTAATTGTGTAAATGAAACGGATTTTAATAAATAATTAAGCTAAAACTTTGTTTCTATTTCTTATAAACCATTCAAATTTAAAACAATGTAAAAAAAGCGCTAAATTTTGTTTTGTACTTGAATGCATTATCCACAGATTAAAAACAGATCAAAACTAGTTTTTTTACACTACGTTTTTATAAGGTTTTTATCCCCAACCCTGATATATCGATATAGTTCCATTTATCGATATACGGTTCCCATCCCTACGCGTAGTTCGAACACTTCACTACCAGGTGCCGCGCGCGTCGGAAAATTTAAAAATAAACAAATCCCGAAATCGATTTTCCTAATTTTTCGTTTTCCAGGACAATAACAAGCAACACAGAAATGATTCTTAAGATATTATGGCTCTTTTTTCCCGTAATTGTCTGTGCCAAAGACTACAACGTGTTAATGAGCGAGGTTTTCGAAATAACCATCGATCCAACTATGTTCAACTGGACGTACGAAGGCAGAAAAGATCAATTCGTCTACGAAGCGACCCTAGCTAATTCTCCAGACTTACCGTCTTGGATTCATTATATTTACAGCGAAAAACATCACTGTGGCTTTTTGTATGGCGTTCCTCCTAACAGAAATCAACCTATTGTTCCCCTAGAAGTAGTAGGATTAAATAAAGTTGACTATGATACAAGGTAACGATACTTTCGAGTTTCTTTCTATTTACAATCATTTTTAACTTCATATAGGATCGAGAATATAAATATAGTGATTCAGGAAAAACTTGGCCCTGCTACATACGAGGTTCATATGAAAATTGATAATTTGAATGTGGATGATATGTTTGAAGTAGATAGAATGGAGTCTTTGAAAGAGATTTTCAGATCACAGTTATGGAAGGATTCTGAAGAAGACCTCTATGTGACATTTTTAGAGAGTGCCATTGATATGGGGGCTAGAAAACCTGCAAACCCTGTTGAAGGAGAAGGGTATATAATCTGGCTTCTGCAAGAATTACTTTAATACCTTCTGAATTTTATTTTAGAGTGATCGTAAGACTAGGGAGTGAAGTAAGTTTTTCATCTGAATTATTACAATTACAAGAAGAAATACGGCCTTTGTATAAAGTCCAACCCTGTCCAAGAAACTATAAGAGGACTTCTGTGGAAAGGTTCTTCAGGGATGTTGGATTTACATTGGATTGGTGTTCATTTAGACTTGTAAGGCAGTTATTATTTATTTATATAATCTTAAATTAAGATTCTGACTTGAAAACCCTATTAACAGATTCATAAAGAAGAAAATAATAATTCTGCAATGCACAAGTCCACTATTGGACATCTAAATGATGATTTCAATGACGAATGGATACCAATTTCGAGACATAGCTTGCCACTTAGGAGTTATAATAATGAATTAATTATTACTATAACTGTACCAATGGTTCTCATGTTAATACTGGTATTTGTATTGACATTTATTCTGTGTTTGCAACATGACGATCTGTAAGTTTAATTTTATATTTATTTATTTGTTAATATTTATATAGTAGGGACCCAAAAATATCTATATTATAGGAAAAATATCAGTTATTACTATTTTTGGTTGTTTCTTAATAATATTATTTACAGGACTGATGAATACAGCGAATTTTTCTTTGATAATTTGTACCATATCTGTATAGATTGGTTTAGTAGTGGTGAAAGGTAAAAATAGCAAAGAGATTTTGCTTTGAGACAGGCTTAAAATGTTTTTTTTTGCGTGGAACTCACATAGGAAAGACCTTTTGATTTTTTTTAAATTGAAATTAATACAAACTAAAAAATATGAAAAAAAACGGCGTCATAGTAATCTTAGAAATAAACTCGCTAGGGCGATCCTTTATACAAGAGCGATTTTGGTTTGTGAAAGGCTTAAATTTTTTTTTTCGGTTAAACTTACGAATTAAAGTCATTTTGATTTGTTTTGAATTGAAATTAATACCAAAAAAATATGAAAAAAAAACGGTGTCGTAGTAACCTTTGAAATAATATCCCTGATAATTTCTGTCAGGGCGATCCTCTATACAACAGTGATTTTGGTTTGTGAAAGGCTTAAAACTTTTTTTTTTCAGTTAAACTTACGTATTAGACATTTTGATTTTTTTTTAATTGAAATTAATACTAACTAAAAAAAAAGATGAAAAAAAAACGGCGTCGTAGTAGCCTTTGAAACGACAATCAATGATAATTTTTGTCGGGGCAATTCTCTTTACAACAGTTATACAAATTTGACGTAAAAATTTGTGTATAATATTTTGTAGAATTTTTTTGTGTGTCTGAAGAACCATAAAATTTTTCTACAGATAAATATTCTAATAATTTTTTCAAGGTTTGATTTGCATTAAATTACTAAAAATACTATTTATTTAAAGATTCTCCATGTAGTAAGTGCTTCTATTAAAAATCTGTTTAAAAAATGCAAGACTTGCCAGAATCTTGCAACAAGACCAAGACTGGACTCTGCAAGACCAAAACTACTTATTAACTGCAGTAAATCTTGATTTCTACACAAAATAAAAAAATAATGTCAATAAAAAGACTAAATATAAGGGAATACATTAATTTTTTACAATTCTCATTAAACAGAAAAGAGCGTTTTTTAAAGAAGGTTTACTAATTTGAAAAAGTAGATTTTTTACTTTTCATAATTTTTTTACACGCCAAAAAATATTACAAATAAGCTCACTTTCTTTTGACACGAAAAAAACTCGAAATTATAACGGATTGTCATTTCAAACGCCACTATGACACGTTTTTTTAGGTAGTAACAAAAAATAACAAACTTACTAATTTTCTCTATCAATTTTTCAATATTCTTCTAGGATTGAACTGTCAGAACACAACGGAATAATATCCAAAAATTCTCCATTTCAACACCTGTCGCTGTCAAATAATACCCTGGGACACGAATACTCTGACAGTCCGAATTCTACCATAAACAGGGGGGTGCACTGTCGTCCAAGTCCCCCACCGTATGTCAGACCAAAATTCAAGCCGGAGATTTGACAAAATGATGAGAAAACTAGCAACGGAAAGACTTGGTATTGCTGAAAAGTTCACAAGAAAAATGTTTGCTGAGCTTTGTAGGAATTAACGTAGTAAAGTGCGTAATAAATAATTGGGTAATACTAGTAGAGCAATTGTCAATGATGCAATAAAAAAATATTGACGAAATAATGATGCTAGTCATAAAAATACTCTGTATGTATTTTATATAGGTACTTATTTATTGTATTTATTTATTTATATTTGTTAAAGATAGTTAAAATAAAATGTCTTTTAATGTGTATTTTATTATTTCTACTCTCCCAGAAGGAAAAGAGCGTATTTTTTACCTTAATTTTCCTTGTTTTGATACTTGACATCGTGACATAATTTTAAAAATCATATATACAGGGTGGTCCGTATTCTATTCGGGAAACTTTCTAGTCAACAAGTCTATTTTTTAAGAGACTTTTTTTACGTAGAGACCAGCGGAAATGTATATTTTTTCTCAGTAGTATAATACAGGTACGGACGAAAAGTTAAAACAAGTAAAAACTTTGGAAATTATTTGGCAAAATGCTAGATAAAAATTAAATTTCTATATCCTGTATCACCGAAACGAACAACAAACTACAAACTTTTTTACTTATTTTTATCTGCAGAATATATTGTTTTCCGAAGATTTTTCCCGAATACAATTTGGACCACCCTGTATACAGGAGGAACAAGTGTGCCAAAAAACCGTATCAGATTTTCTATTTGAAATATTCACTATTTTTTTGTAAAAAGATTGCAGTAAAAATATACTTATATTTTATCAATAAATTCATAAATATATACAGGGTGATTCAAACATATTTTATACTAAAGTTGTGTTCTTTAAAATGAAGTACTGTATACTTTTTCAGCTGAATATATTGTCGCCATAAAGATAAATTTGAATCACCCTTTTCTATGAAAATATTTCTAAAATATGTGCTCTTATTGCCTGCATATTTTTCAGAAAAAATTGTAATAAACCCCTGCATAATTTATTAAAGAACTTGGGAGTGTTACTGGGGATAAAATCTATCTAATCTAATCAAAAAAACAGTTTTTTTATTGCTTCAACTAAAACAATATACAAGTACTTTATTTACAACTCTGCTCCATATTTTACACTAACAATTCTTGGAAATTAAATTAAAAAAATACTGATGAAAATAATTCACAGACAAAAAACTGGTAAATGTATCACTTAAAATCGAACCTATTAGTGATTTAATTTGAACACTGTCTTTATACTACAAACTATTAGTGTTTTAGGACCCTAAATATACCATAACAATTTTGTATAACAAAAATATTTTTAATATTTTATTCTAATCTCATGTTTCATTTGTTAAAATCTCTCCAACGTGAGAAGACAGACGACATTCAAAAATTGACAGAAAAAAACAATTTAAAGTTGATGCAAAATGACAGAGTCAACTGTCATTGTCAGAAAACACACTATACTAAAAAATTAGAGTATATTTTTGAGATAAATAAATAAATCTGACAGTGATAGATGTGGTCTGTCATTTTAACCGACAGAAAAATTGTATTTCCTGTCATTTTTTTGTATGTCGTCTATCCTTGAAATCTTCCCTGTCTCATTGGACATACTTTATACAGACAGATCAAAATATAACACTGGTTTAAGCATTTGGCATTAGTATATCTTTTGATTTTCAAAACACGTCCTGTTACAGACGATAATTTCTATCTAAAAAAATGACAGATCCGTCAAAATTGACAGTTAGTTTTCCCGGGACGGGTTACAGTAAACGTCAGTCAAATGTTCGTCCGACTCCATGGCATTTTGCCTTGACAGATGCCCGTAATTATGTGAGAGACTATTCAAACTATACCTGTCCTCTTTCATGTCTAAAAAACCTCCCTCTGAACCTTCTGAGTCCCCTGAAATCGTCCTGGTTCTGAGCCGATAAGAACTGGAACAGTTCACCTCTGGATCAGCATTATCGCTTATTGGAGCTTGAAACGGCGAGTATTCTGGAGATTCTGTTAAATTTTCTTCACTCCGAGTGTGCTGTTTCTTTTCCTCTAGATCAGGAGAAGGACTTTTTTGACAAAAAGACAGACTCATCGATTCAGAAGTCTTGGTATCCGAGCTTTCTCCAGATTTGTTTGAAGGAGACGAAACTTCAGACACCAAAGGAGTGCTTTCGTTGTCGCTGGTTTCATTTAACTCCGGACTGGATTGTAGTAGTTTTTCCCGGAATTTTTGAAGCTTATCCAGGCTGATCTTCTTGTGGTCTTTGCGCGTAGTCATCTGAGTGTGATCAATACTCTTCGACCTGTTCCTGCAAGGAGGTTTGTGAGGCCGCGAGTCCCGATGACCTAAGCCTAAGGAATTTGGTCTGGCTCTAACCAGAGGCTTTGAAGGATGGGTTTCGTAGACTACAGTGGAGGTGTTGGAGGAAATGCTGACTTTCTGGACCTCTGGATCGGTTTTTATGACGACATGACGGCCTTTGGACGATTCCGAGAAAGACCTACGTTCTTGTACTAGAAAGAAAAAGAAAATTAGAGAGAATATGAAGTGAATAATAAGGAGGGCATTAATAAAAAAATAATGGATGCCCACTAAATAAATCATTACCAGGAGATGGGGGTTGTGAACTGCCTCTAGAGCTTTGTTCGCTCAGACTCTCCGAGTAACCAGCTATGGAAATTCCAACGGGTTGCCAGTGTAAATGTCCTGATGACGATGACTGCAGAATGACGAAATCTGTCTCGCCTAGTCCGCTCGTGCTGTTCGTACGCGATCTGTGGCCGCGCGATGACGTGACATCTATAAACACTCTAGTTGTCACTCTAACCGTCATAGTAAGCACGGCATAGTTTTATATTCATGAAAGATGACGATTGCATCATATCCAACAAGAAATATACGTTTATCTTTGTTTAATCTAGTGAATGAGAACCGTTTCCAGTCCTAAGACAATAAATTAGAAAGTTGTCTCACTCTAAAACATTTAAATGTCCATTCTGCATAAATTTCCTGTACAAAAAAAATATTCTGACGCAATAGTCATCTTTCACGAATCAGACTATACATTCGTACCATTGAATAAAAAAGACCAAGGAAGGAGTATATCGCTAGACTTGGAGAGACCGCGAAGGGGTTTAACTATGACTGACTCTACTACCACAGATTATACAGATTATAATCTTTGTTTTTTCTTTAATGTTTTTCGTGGTTCCAATTTTCGGAATCGGGCACTAGTTAGGTGACTAGCTAGCGCACATAGCACGCCCACTTATGGCCTCTAAAATTGTGCACAGCGCCTGACCGGCACAGTTATTAGAGAGATATCGGAAAACCGAATAGCGTCATCCAGTATTTACGCGTACCTTATCATGGTTACGATATGCGCGAGTCAACGCAACACCCGCTAATAACGTTACCGCCTGACGTAATTTGCGGATCAATTACACTCTTGATTACACCAAGCGCTCTTTCTAAATAACCTCTGATAACGTTTAAAAATTGCTTAAATGGGCATGTGCGGGTATTTGACAACCGGAGCCGGCCGGCGAGATCTTTTATTTTAGGTTATGTTTGAATTGTTTTGAATTATTGCTTTAGTTTTAATTAAATAAATATGACCCAAAATATGGATTCCACCTCTTCCAATACTAAAGAACCTATAAAGAGTCTTAGGTTTACAGCAGATGACGACTTAGCCCTTCTAAGAGAATTTGTTGCTTGTTGTCCTAAACCTATTGGCAGACGTTGAACAATAAAGCACTGGAAATAAGCACTTTAGCTCTTTAGTTTGAAAATACCTAGTAAACAAAACAATTTCAAAGTTTTAAATTCAAAGTTAGGTTAAGTTTAAATAGCGGACGCGACGCGATCAGAATTCTTTCCGATCCGATAACTATAAATGAAGAGAGTTAATACCACCTCACGTAAAGGAAATAACACTTGGCCTTATTAACGTCCATGCACGCTATTCGGTTTAGCAATATCTCTTTATTACGCTGTTTATTGTTCTTTTACGCGAGTTTATTTTGGCGCACAGGAAATTTGACTCGTTTGCACATCGTCATAAAAAACAATTTTCGTACCACGAATTAGGGACAAGATTTTTATCTGTATACTTATAGGATACCTAATCTGTGCTACTACCAACTGGTCAGTGGCGTTCGATTCTTTTTTAATGTTAAAATATAAAGCATAGGGTACACTCTAATATACCAGCTTTTTTCAGAGCTTTTTTGAATAACTAACTGTTAACAATAATAAGGGAATTCTGCAAATTCCAGTCCTGCATTTCCAGACTTATACACTCTGCATAAAGCCAATTATAAACTAAACAAAATAAGCTATACAAGATAAAGACACACAGAAAAGCGCAACAAAATCACAAACATTGTAATTCGTCAAGAGAAAAAATCTGTCAAATAAGCCAGTTACAGAATAAATGGTTACCACGACGGCTTTTTCGTCTTTAATGTGTGAACATAATAGTTTTGGACTTCTTCCTTAGCATTTGTTATTCAATGAAATGTTCTTGAAATATATTAAATATTATGGTCTAAAATTACACATAAAATTTATTTTGCTCCATTTTTAAAACAGAGGTCATATTTTGCTTATTTTTTTTAAATAATATGGGAAATATAATACAGGGTGCTCAATATTAAATAATAATTAATAATTTGTATAATTTGTCATCATCTAATTTGATGTCACACAAAAGTGAAATTAATGTAGGTATTTTTTTGCACTCCAAACATATGAAATTTCACTGCACTGTATATATATATATATATACACAGTGGTCGAAAATTTTAACAAAAACAACATATACCACAAAGCGTTGCATTCAAATTAAAATTTGATACATGCCAGCAACATTGATTACCAAAGAAACGAAGCTTAAATTAATAGAATAAATTAATATAATAATATTGTTAACATAAACATAGCAAAGAGAAAATGAACTATATACAGGGTGTTTTCTAAGATAAATGCAAAAACATATAACAAAGTTCGAAAAAGTTGTATACATGCGGATTTTGCTTTACAACAGAAACACCCTGTATATATTTTATAAATTAGCAATACACATACAAATATACCCAAGCCTAACATACAACTACCAGTTAATGAATTCACAAAACAAACGTATTTACTGTATATAAACAAACAAAACAATATTTAGATACAACATAATTTACAATAAAATAATAACAAAATAAAATAAAACCTTTTTTTCTAAATTACTATATTTATTAACTGGGTGTAAATATAACAAAGAAAAAAATAAAAATCAATATATAATAGGAAAAAACTAATTTTCTTAAAATAATATTAATAATTAAAACAAAATACAAAATGGCAGGACTTGTTATTTATATATCCATGTCATCAAATAAATATGATGTAAAAAATCGTAAATGTTTTTTTATAGCGATGTCTCTATATCGAGGAATGTCGTAAAAACTCATATTTTTGTATTAAACTATTAAAATAAATAATTGTGGTGAATTCAGTAACTGCCACCAAAAAAAACAAAAATAACCATGCTCCAAAAAAAAATTAGTCAGTAAGTAATGTAAAAATCACAGATTATTCAATAAGTTACTCAACAATTTATTGAATAAAAATATAAAACAGTAAAGGCCTGATTTTAATCAATTTCGACAGTTGAAAAATACGCTGAATGTTAAAATTATGATGATGATATCCATTTATACGAACATAAAGTTTATGACATCATTACTATCCCACTTCTGAAATAAGTCTCAACTATTTGGATACTCTTTTGTTTTTTACTATATAGATCAAGATATAATTTATCTTTTTTTTTATCTATTCCATATATCTTCTCTCAATGACGTGATGTCAGACTTAGTCAGTCTATTTTAACAGTCGAAATGATTCAGAATCAGTACCCATATGTTCTCTTATTGCTTTAATCTATGAGCGTATCATCTCTTGAAAAAAAAGTCTTTTAAAAATAAGTGGTTTGCGATCGTGATTTTACTTTACTCGATAGGGAAAGGCGTATCGGCAACGCCGCAAAGGCACACAGTCGGTCGCATTTCTCTCACTCCGACTTAATAAGATCCCTATGCGATTTACTTCCACACATGTAAATGCCGACCCAAAAGTAACAGTTGCCAGCACGGTATACAGAAAAATCCATAACCTATCAACACTGTTAACTGATGATTTGGAAAATTATGTAAATAAAGAAAGTTAAACCTATACAATTAATAACAAAAAAAAAAGAATGTGTCTATACTATATTATGACTAAATCTAGGACCCTGTAAACATGCAAGTGTGTGCTGATTAGTGTTAAACAGGGGTGACAGTACCATAGCCTCAACTTATCTAAGAGATTCAGGAAAAAATTCAACTAAATACAAAGGATTTTTTGTTTTTAGGAAAAAATAAATTTCTATAAAGAAAACATGCATATAGGGGTCAATATTACAGTTTTTTCAGTCAGATTATCATGTTAAATACTTAGAAAATTATATATTTATTGCTATGTGTCAATATTTTACGTTGTCTCAATCGTATATATTTCGTCAGTGACCTAATACAGTGTGTTTTAAAAATAAGTAGAAGTATTTTAAATGGTTGTAAGTCTGCATAAAAAAACATATTTTCTAATTGTCACTTTTAAAATTAATGGAAAAATAACTGAATTATTTAAATATAATGCTTACATTTTGAGAACCGCCGGCTTCAAGCGGTGTCAGCATATTTAACGTCCTGTGTTGCCACATCGATTAGAAAGTATGTATTTATTTTAAAAATCCTTAAAAAATCCACGATTTTTAACACTCTTTGTTGTTTTTATTCAGAGCTTTATGGTAGGTTATAAAAATAATATTCTGTAAGTGAGATATTCCTTGATACGTACATTAGGGTGGGTCAAAAAATCGACTATTTTTTTTTTCATTTTATACACTGAAAAAAAGTTGGTAGGCACCTCAAAAAAAAATCTCTCCAAGTATGAGCTTCTAATTCTAATAAGAAGGTCCTTCGCCTTTCAGTTTTATATTTTTTCCTCATTATTAGAAAGAAAAATTCATATCTCGGTTGCTATTAATACTAGGAGTATTTGGTTACTTTCCTCTACAAATATACAGAATATGTGTGTGGCAACATTGTAGGACCTTGATAATACTTGGAAGAAATTTTAGGAGAATGAACCAGTGGCACTAAAAAGTTTTAAAATTTCTCGAAAGTATTAATTTTCAACACTGTTTCACAAAAAGATCATTGGCTTGTTTTTGAGCTTTAACTATACTACCAGATAAAATACTTGTCCTTATTTAAAAAACACTCTGTACAGTTTCATCCGCAAAAGCTCAATACGACCTAGAACCAATAAGTACCAAATAAAACTGGACCCCGTACCAAACAACCCAAACTGAGATTATTCCCTTTTTTTTCTTAAATTTCAACCATCACCATCAGTAATAGTGATAGCAGGATTCGACCTAGAGGTCACTCTATCACTATTCTCCCCCACTCCAGCATCGTCATCATAAGTGACTTTTTTAAGGCTTTTCTCCACCTGGCTAACGCTAGGCTTGTGCTGCACGGAGGGCAATAGAGATTCACCTGGGGGACAACAGTCGGGACTGGGGGGAATCACCGACGTTAAGGGCAGGTCCGGATCGATGGTGATCTTTGTTTCTTCCGTTTCTTCAAGGACATCCTCGCAAGCTTCTTCGTTGAGGGTTTGTAGGGCTCCGCATATCATTTGTTCTTCTAACGTGACCTAGGAGAAAGATAAAAAATACCAAATACGTTTTTTTCCTAATCGAGTACCGAATACAGATATAATAAATCAAGAAATAAGGTTTAACTTCTCTAAGAAGCTAGGTTAACGAGCCAATAAGTCTATTCGGTATACAGGGTGTCTCATAAATAAGTGCAAGTTCTTTCTTTAGTCCTTTGAATAAGAAGACTAAGGAAGGAGCATAATGCTATCCATGTATTCATGCATGGTGAGCGGAAAAAGGACTCTAGGGTGGGAATCCTTGACAGTTCTGTTTGACGATTCATTTAAATTTGATTTGAAATTTTGTGGATTTGTCAGTGTTTACGGAGCTTATTTTATGTTATTTATTATTTATTCTACTACTGATAGTTGTATAAAGGTAGTAAATCTAGATGGAAAGTGTGGCAGAACTTAAATTAACAGTGACACTATCGCGATTTATCGAAATAGACTCTAAAATAGTTGGTTGTGTAGCGTGCGGTAGATCTCGGCAAAAATCGAACGAAATAATGGAACAACCTTTCGCTAGTAAGTGACTATATAATATACATATGTGTAGTAAACCGATCATTTATGAAATTCATTTAAATTAACTAATTATATATTTTTTCTTGCATTTTTGCTTTTATTTACTACTTGTCAAAGATTAGATGTCAAAGAATTTAGATACGTCAAATTGACTTACCTGCTTCAGTAGCGTATCGGATGTTTGTGGTAATAAATAATTATTATAACTTATCTATTTTTATTAGAATTTTATATTTTTATAACAATTTTAATAACTACCAACATTTATTCACAACGTAAAATAAACTAAGATATGATTGAGTCTACCCTACATCATAGTTTTACATTTTTTAAATAAAATTAGAAGGGCACTGATAAACCGGAATTTAAGTCGGCCATATTTGAGGCCCATCGCGGTGGACCTAAGATTTTTGATATGCTCCTTCCTTAGTCTTCTTATTCAAAGTATACCATCTAGTATATTATGGTAACTTTATTGCATGTCAGTTAAACAATGGCACTTATTTACGAGACTTCCTGTATATAGTGCTAAATAACATAAAAATAACATTAGGAAAAACACATAACATCTAAAGAAGTAACCTAAAAAATTCCTTTAAATCCACATAGCATTTAAAAAATCAGTGAACTACAACATAGTGTAATTTTTGGGGGAATCACAACAACAAAAACGACATCCAAGTGCTGACAACTACACGGGACAGAGTGCTTACGTACCTGGTACTGCAAAATAGGCGTGCAAAACATTGACAGTGTGTTAGTACGATAGATTTTTGACAACAGATGTGTGACGTATGTAGTATTCAGTTCAGCTACAAAGGACAAATGACACAAATCTGACATTTTACTACCTGTTACTATTGTATTATTTACTCCCGTTTATCAAATGATATTTATAGAAAATCTTAAAGATATAATGTAAGGGTGAAGTAAAAGATTACCTGTTTTTCTATGACGCTCTGTTTCCTTTCTCTGGGCACTTCAGTTTGAATTTTTCCGTCAGTTTTGTCGCTGTTTGAACTTGTTACGCCCTTTATACTACCTGGAAAAAGAATAAAAACACTCAAAAACTATACAGGGTGACTCTCTAACTTCTCTAACGTACTTTTTCTCTCTGGTTTTTTGGATACTACAGACTGATTGGAATCGTCTTGCTTCAGAATACTGGAAATTTCGTACTCTCGGAGTTGAATGAGAGTGACCTTGAACATCTCCCAGTCACCAAAAGACATGTTCAGTAGCTAAAATATTTAAATTTTTGATCAAATAACACAATATACACAATAGGGTGGGTCAAAAAAATGGAGTATTTTTTTTCACTTTAAACTCTGAAAAAAAGGTTGGTAGACACCTCAAAAAAATACAAAATTCTGTTTCAAAAAATTGATTTTTTTCAAATTTTTAATTTATTTTTTCTTCGAAAATTACCATCGATTGTCATTCCCCCGTTGTCTCTGACGTCGTTTTTTTTTCACTAGTAAGTCTATCATAAAATAACCTAAAAATACGATATAAAAATCTACTATACCTTCTTAAGATCATCTATATCGCAATGCAGAAGTACCCTTCCATTGACATTGTGCTCTTTTATTAAACTGATGTACCCTGGAACAGCAGCTTGGTTCAGATCTTCCAGTTTGGAAAGAAGCTTGCACACGCCCTCTACATTTAACGTGGAAAGCTTGTTTTCCAATATGCCAGGCTGAAAAATAGTATATATTAAGTCGAAATAAGTTTTTTATTTACTTGAAGGAAATAAAAATATAAATACCTCTAAAATTACAGACGGCAACCCTGCAGACTGTCTTGAAGTAGTGCTCATGTTACTTAAAGCATCGAACTGTGTCCAAGGAGACGCCATTGTGTTGGCTGGTGATTGGTAAGGACCAGGAACCATCTTGGGTACAGGCATAACCTATATAAATGCTTAGATACACTTAAACTCATAAAAAAAGTGTTTAAAAAAAATACAGAAACATCGAATGTTATTGTTTGAAAAAGTGTTAAAAAATTAAAAAAATAGTTTTTTACACGTAAAATAAATAATTTGAAAATAACTAACCGAAAAAAAAGAGAAAATATCGAGATTTTTTCGAAAAATTTCTAAAATAAATTTACCTGACGTCTGTCTCTGGTAGGTTGAGAAGTGGACGCCACTGGTCTATTTGGAACCTGTCCCGACCAATCAACGTGCGTGTGCCAGGCAGACAGTGGCGGCGGTGCAAAGTAGGGGGCGCGCATCTGAGGGGAATACATCCCTACCTCCTCAATATTCTGCGTTTCCTCTGTGAAATAACAATATTAAATGGCTTTATTTAAGAAAAAAAAAATAACACTTCAGGCAAAGTCTAGCCTATTTAATTATTAAGGGAATTATTAAGAGAAAAAATAAATAAAAAAATATATGATAACTACATAAAATAAATTCAAGATTAAATAATCTGAACATTTCAAATAAAAAAGTAAAAATTTCAGAAAAATAAGTAAATATAGAGAGAAAAATCTTACCTTTAATAACTTTTTTCAGGTATGGATCTAAGTTTATGGTGAATGGCAGGAATATCTTCAAATCACTGACTAAAAGACTGGAACGATGAAAGGTTAGGAAAATGTCAAATTTTTTCTCGTCCCTGTCCAGTTCTAGCAACGGTTCCGAGTCTTTGATTGAAGGAATCAATGGCCTAATTCTGGGGAATAATAATTATTTATTATATAGAGTGTTTCAAATTATATTCTAACCATTGGGGTCTAGGAAACGTTGTAAAAAATAAGTGACAACTTACTTATCGTATATTGATTTCAATGGAGTGTTATCATCTAGCTGATCTTCATAGAGATCAAAATGATATATTATCCAAGACGTTCTAAAAGGCCATTGTTCGGTGATATTGATCCAAGAAGCTAAACGGTACCAGTTAAAATCTATTTGGAATGCTTTAAGTAATCGTCCTGTAAAAAATAAGAAAATATTACACTAATCCATACTTTTTCCATATTTTGATGCAACTGATAATGAATTAACAATTTTATTATAACATTTTTGATTACCTGTTATGTATACAACGTTCATCAACCTTCTCATGGATCGGGGATTCACATCGCTGAAGTAATCGTCAGTTAGAAGCATTTTGGTTAAGTCTTGAGCACCACCTAGTAGCGAAAGTTTGACATTAATTATTGGCTTGATACTTCACGATATCAAGTATTATACATATTATATGATAAAATTTTTGTCTATGATCATTAAATTGAACATAGACAAAATATTTTGTGTCTATGTTCACTTATACCGTATGATCGAATAAAAACGGCGTCAGCGATGGCTATGAAATGAAGATCGCTGTCATTTTATATGTAAAATTATATGGGGAATGTCAACGATGTTCATTTCCAAGCCAACTGGACGCCGTTTTTTTTTCGATATAAATATAGACAAAATACTTATTGTGTTCACCTACAGAACATAGAAAAAATATTATATTTTGTCTATGAAGATACAGAACATAAGACAAAATATTATATTTTGTCTATGCATAACATAGACAAAATATTATATTTTGTCTATGTTATGCATAGACAAAATATAATATTTGCATAGACTATATATATTACTAGACTATATATATTACTAGACTATATATATTACTAATAATTATGCATAGACAAAATATAATATAACATAGACAAAATATTATATTTTGTCTATGCATAACATAGACAAAATATTATATTTTGTCTATGATCATTTACAGAACATAGACAGAATATTTAATTTTGTCTATGTTCACTTCTATGAACATAGACAAAATACTTATTGAGTCTATGTTCACTTACAGAACACAGACAAAATATTTATTGTCTCTATGTTCACTTACAGAACATAGATAAAATATTTTATTTTGTCTATGTTCACTTATATGCACATACACAGAAAAATACCTTGTCTATGGGAATATAGAAACCCATCTATGTTCCTTTAGACAAATAAATACATAAGTAAACACAGGTAAGATATTTTATTGTGCCTGTATGGTCACTTATGTAAACATAGACAAAATTATAGATCTGTATACATTAAGGTTGCCTGTTTAACTGACTCTTTATGAAAAAATTACCTACCTATTCGGTTCAAATTTGATCCTATCGAACTAGCTATAGACTCTGACAGCTTCAGCTTCCTAGAACCCTTCCTATTGCCGGAATATTTCAGATTTTCCCTACTAGCCGACATCAGAATGTTCTCATTAGACAATCTTCGACTTGAAGACTAAAAACATTCATATTTAACGATATTTAGAGCCACCTGGACGTCTACTAACCGATCTGGCCAGAAAAGTGTTGAGATTCTCGTCATTTTCCGACCAACCTCCAGCGTTTGATTTCTTGTGAGCTGATGCAGTCTGCTGAGCAACTTTAACCTTCCTTAATCCAGAATTTTGTAGATAGAAGGGCAAGTGGACCATGTTGCTCAGGTAGTTGTGTCCGCCGATGTTGCTCTCGCTGAACAGACGCCTAGTGTTCATTTCCACAGCCTACACAGAGCCAATTATATACAGGGGTGTCTCTTAAATAACTGCTAGTATTATAAATTAAAGTTCAACCAAAAATATTCAAAATATCTATTTTTTAATATCACTGTTCTGTTCTAATTGTTGTTTTAAATTTAAAATATTTTTTCTGTTGATATATTTTATATCATGTCATATATTATTTCCTCTAACCACAGTACATTACACATTACACGACATCAAAACATTCCATATTATACAAAGTGTCCAAAGAGACTAGCTCAGAATTTTAAACAAAAATAAATATAAAATATTTTTAGACACCTTGTAAAATACAGAAATAATATATTTATAAAAAGTATAGATTATTTTACACCGCATACTCACATTACAATTTAGACTATTACTTTTAGAGCTTCTCCGAGATTATATTTTTTATAAATATACACGTATTAACACAACACGTAAACCACAGATTATAACTAACCTTATCCCAAGCAACCTGTCCGAAAAAATGCGATAGGCATCTATTAGTGTCAGTTTTAAGCTCCTAGAGTTAATAAAGAAATAACTGAAGGCTGCAATGTTATGTTAATCAAAATAAAACTACTGTTATGTTAAGGCCAATTAAAATAATAGCAAAACCAAAAAAATATAATATATCTCTTTCAGTTCATAGTCACAATATAGTTCAGTCATTGGGGATCAAAAAAGGGGCCTACTTGAAAAAAAGTCCGGAAGTTTTGAAACTCTGCTTGGTTTATAGGTTTTGGGGTCCCTAACTAAAATCCTTAAAATGCACATTTCCAGACTTGCCGCCGGCGCCCAAAATCGATATTTTGTAAATATCTCGAAAACTATGCGTTTTTCGCAAAAATTCGAAGACAGTAAAATTAAAGAGAATAAAATTTCCTATAAAAAAGGTTATATGAAAATTTTCGCTAAAGTCAACCTTTTAGGCACGAAATCCCTCGAATTTTTACAATTTTGAGTAAAGTATGATATACATAATATAGTCGATTTTCCGCAATTAAATGTCGATTAGTGTTCACTAAAACTAGTTTTAGTTTAGTTTCTTCGATTTTGTCTTGAAACAGTGGCGTATCATTAATTCGCTCATTAATTTATGAATAATTAATTTTAAGTATTGAAAAATGTGTTTTATGACAAAATTGAAGAAATTAAACTAAAACTAGTTTTAGTGAACCCTAATCGACATTTATTTGGTTTCGGAAAATCGACTATACATAATATTAAAAAATATATTAATATTTAAAAAATATTATTAATATTTAAAAAATAAAAAAAAATATATTAAAAAATAAAATATTATTAATATTTTTTTTTATTATTAATATTTAAAAAATTAAAAAAAGTTGCTTTGACTAGGATTCGAACCTGCCTTACTATACGGCTCCAACGTCATAGCAGCGTAAAGTCCTAACGCTTTAACCACGCGGCCACCGAGGACTTGAAAGATTCTATGTAAAATTCTTACTTAAAATATAATGTTTAGTGAAAGTACTTTTTTATTTATAAATATTTAGTTAATTCTGTTTTTAGTATTTGTTCTTATAGCGGCAACATAGAGACATTATCAGTGAAAATTTCAACTGTCTAGCTATAACGGTTCATAAGATAGACCTTTGTGACAGACGGACGGACGGACAGCGAAGTCTTAGTAATAGGGTTTCCGTTTTTACCCTTTGGGTACAGAACCCTAAAAAAGAGAATTCTATGAACTAAAACAGGTATAATAATAAGCTATATTACTCTCTCTCTTCCTAATAAATAAATACTACTACCAAATAATGACTTAATGATAAAATAGTGCAAGCAAATTATAAGAAAAAATTAAAACCCCTAAGCTTAACCTAAAAGCCATCTGTGTATTTTAATTGAGGTTATGTACACTTACCTTGGCTATGACGTGAGGATCTATAGCTAATATCACAATAAACGGCGAGTTGGCGTCGGAGAACAACAGATGGACAGTGTCCAGTATCAGTAACACTTTCTCTTGTTCGCAACTGTCAAGACCGTCAACAACTATGACAAGTCTGGTTTGTTGCGCGCTCAAGCTATCCAAACATTTGACCATATCTTTCATCAGATTAACCTGTCAAATCATCAACGAAAATAGTAAAATAATCGGTATATTATTTTAGATCGTATAAACCACATGGATAATACAATAAAATCGAAAAAAAAACGGCCTCAGCGATGGCTATGAAATAAAGATTGCTGCCATGTCATTTCCAAGCCAACTATACGGATTATAGGTTTATAAGATCTAATAATATCATTGTTTATTTCTTTATATGTATATTAACCTCTTGTCTAAGTGTTTGTAAAAATCCTTCACTTTTTACAGTCTCAAGTTTGGCTATAGAACGCTGTAAATGGCGTCTTTGCGAGAACAACACAGACCTAAACAATTTACTCCAAGTATAGGCGTTGGCTATTGTGGCCACTGCCAGAAGCAGTGCTGCCACTATCAGTATTATTTCCAAAGTTGACTTGGTCATATTGATTGTAATGCTGAAAAAACAGTTTAAAGGTATTTTTATTTCGTTAAAATAAATTTTAAAAGTCTATCTTACGTTTCACCTGAATTGACACGAACTAGGTAATACGTCAAGGCACTTATTCCCAGAATGACCATAAAAAACGTTATTTCGAAAATGATTATGTAAGGCAGGCAACACATCTTTCGCCATGACCACGAAGAGGCTGATTTCACTAGAATAAAATCGATGAAATTAAAATCATTGATCAAAATGACCTAGATATACAGGGTCCGGCAATAGTGCGTCGGGCATCTGTACCTCCTAGAATAAAAAACTTGACAATTTTGTTCAAGTGCAAATCTAAAGTATGTACCAGGATGTATTGCAGGAAAATATTTTAACTTCTATAGGGTGGCTCAAAAAAGTGTGAGTGGACCTGGATGATTTTTTTTAAATGAAACACCCTGTATATTATTGCATTTTTGGCTTCTTTTCAGATCACTTTACATAGCCCTAAGATATGAATAAATACATTTCGATAGTTTCAGAGATATTAAAAAATAAATCAAAAATATATATTTTTCAGCCCTTCGTATAAAAAAATATTAGAAATACAAGAACTGTTCTGAAATCAAAACTATACTAAGTATTTACTTTAGATGGTCTGTACTTACTTTGCTATAAATATGAAAATCTTAAATTATACAGGATGTTCAAAATTCTACGCCAAACTTTCTAAAATATAAAATAATTTTTCTTCGTTTTTTTAAATGGAACACCCTGTATATTATTTTTTCAATAGATGGAGAATTAAAAAATGAACATTTTTTGTATTTAGAGTATTTCAGAATTTTTAACGGTTTCGCAGATATTTGCGGTTTTATATTTCATATGGCATTTTCCACAGTAAATTTTTATCAAAGGCACCCAATGATTTTTCTCTCGTATTTTACCATTGAAAGCGCCATATGAAATAATACTGCGTGTATCTGCGAAACCGTTAAAAATTTTGAAATACTCTAAATACAAAAAATGTTCATCTTTAAACTCTCCATTAAATGAAAAAATAATATACAGGGTGTTCCATTTAAAAAAACAAAGAAAAATTATTTTATATTTTAGAAAGTTTGGCGTTGAATATTGAACATCCTGTATGATTTACGATTACCATATTTATAGCAAAGTAAGAACAGACCATCTATAGTAAATACCTCATATAGTTTTGATTTCGGAAGAGTTCTTGTATTTTTAATAATTTTTTTAAGAAGGGCTGAAAAATATATATTTTTGATTTATTTTTTAATATCTCTGAAACTATCGAAATATATTTATTCATATCTTAGGGTTATGTAAAGTGATCTGAAAGGAAGCCAAAAATGCAATAATATACAGGGTGTTTCATTTAAAAAAAGTCATCCAGGTACACTCACAGTTTTTTGAGCCACCCTATAGAAGTTAAAATATTTTCCTGAAATACATCCTGGTACATACTTTGGGTTTGCACTTAAACAAAATTCTCAAGTTTTTTATTCTAGGAGCTGCAGATGCCCGACGCACTATTGCCGGACCCTGTATAAATCAAACTTAAAACTGTAAAATTCCTCAAAAAAATTGCGACTTTTTTTCCGATTTAGCTGAAATTTTGAATGCGCGTATAAGTAATATAAGTAATAATAAAAAAAATGAAGAAACACATTACTAAAAATTGTATTAATCAATAATAAATATGTAAAAAGTAAAAATATGTAAAAATTAAAAAAAAAACGATTAAAAAAAGTCGTCTTGACTAGGATTCGAACCTGCCTTACTACGGCTCCAACGTCATAGCAGCGTAAAGTCCTATGAAAGATTCTATGTGAAATTCTTACTTAAAAGATAAATCATATATTGCTTTGTTTCTGTTAAAACTATAAAAAGTATCATCTTCAGTAAGTTCAAGAACACAGATTAAAGTTTTAGAAATTCTGCTATATCTTTTTAGTAGAGTTGGGATTTTGACCGTCAAAATCTTTTGTGGTCAATTGACCAGTCAATTGACAAAGCACCAGTCAAATTGTTTCGTGATTCTAAAAAAATAAAAGTAGGAGAAATTACATTTATACGTATATTAGTGATTAAAAAACAGTAAACAAAAATTAAAGAATACAACAAAACGAAACATTATATTAAATGATAATTAAATTTAAAAGTTTTATATAAAATTTAATATTAATTTAAATGTAAAGCGTGGTCCACACGTGGTAACTTATCGTACGATTTGTTTGCATTTACATTACATTAAATGATACAAAAAAGACAGTAACCGAACAAGACTAATAATTTTTAAACAAATATAAAGCCATTCTGAGGTAGCGAAAAAAAAAATGCATAATAGCAATAAAAAAATACTAATGAGTCGTGGTAGCACAGGCTAATCTAGACAACGGAATCTCATCTTCATCACAGTCATCATTGAACTCATTGAGTCAACATTAAAACAGCAACTAACAATTCTTTCGCGTTGCGAGTGCTTTAGGCAAGTCAGTACCTATTATTCGGTTTACGCCAATTAAAAGATTTTGACCTGACCTGGTCAAAATCTTTCCCGTCAAAATCTGTCAAAATCTCGGTCAATTGACCGCGGTCAATTGACCAAGCACAACTCTACTTTTTAGTTACCTGGTTTAGGTTTGAAGGCTCGGTACAACCTGGTTGCCATGGTACCGTAATGACTTTCAATGGAGTCGTACAAGGAACCGATCATTTGAACTACCGAATTTTCACCCCCAGTGGTGCTACTCACTCTGGTGTGATCTGTGAAATAAAATCTGAAAAAAATTTGGAAAAAATGTCTCAAAAATCTATGGTTTTACCAAAAAATAAAGAAAATAGCCTGTGTCAATTCTGTATCGTTAGATAATCATGTGACCAAATTTGAAACGCACAAATATGGAATTTTACAGTCCCTTACCTGATTGGTTGAGCCGATATACCGTCCTGACCTGTCATTCCGGGCGGATGACAGAACAAAATCTGCAAAACCAGTCTTAAGTTGTTCATTTTTCTAGTGAGTTCTACGTTAAAGTTATAAGGCCAGTCCCAATCATACCTGTTGTACATATAGAAGTATAAAGATAAAAAAGACGTCACGGTAACCTGTCACGATCTTACCTCTTACTGGCGAACCACACGAACACTAGGAACAAAATACCCAACAAATAGAAGCCTATAGCTATGCCGATCGACCACAGTTCTGGCTGGAGCTTGTCAGTTGTCGTTTCTGTCAAAATGTAAACGAAGGTGCCTACGACTATGGCGAAATGTAACATAACCAAGAAAAGTAGGCTGGTGAACTGGAAGACCGGATCTACCCATTCTCTGGCAAAGTTCTTCATTTCCTCTGCAAGAAAAATTGCAATTTAGAGACCTAAACTTCATTCAGAAAGCTTATGTCTCTAAAATGACGAAGAAGACATAAACAAGGCAAAACAAATTGTGTGTGCATATTTCAAGTAAAACTTCTTACTAACAGCTATCAAATTGAAATATTTGAACTATAATATATTATTTTATGAATGCTATTTTTTTTGTGTTATTTTTATGAATATTTATTTATAATTTTATGTTTATTAATTTTTATTAAAAAAACAATAATTCTATCACTCGGCCGGATAGCCTGGCAGCTGTGGCCATTAAACCAAAATACTACTACATCTATATCTCTGACTATACTACTAACTGCTACCTTTGAATAAGAAGACTATAAGGAAGGAGCATAATGCTATCCATGTATTCATGCATGGTGGGCGGAAAAGCCACCATAAAAGCTCTATAGGGTGGGGATCCTTGACAGTTCTGTTTGACGATTCATTTGACACATTTGAATTTGATTTGAAATTTTGTGGATTTGTCAGTCTTTAAGGAGCTTATTTTATGTTATTTATTATTTATTCTACTACTGATAGTTGTATAAAGGTAGTAAATCTAGATGGAAATTGTGGCAGAACTTAAATTAACAGTGACACTATCGCGATTTATCGAAAAAGACTCTAAAATAGTTGGTTGTGTAGCGTGCGGTAGATCTCATACGTGTAGTAAACCGATCATTTATGAAATTCACTTAAATTAACTAAATTATATATTTTTCTTGCATTTTAGCTTTTATTTATTACTTGTCAAAAATTAGATGTCAAAGAATTTAGATACGTTAATTTGACTTACCTGCTTCAGTAGCGTATCAGATGTTTGTGTTAATAAATACTTATTATAACTTATCTATTTTTATTAGAATTATATATTTTTATAACAATTTTAATAACTACCAACATTTATTCACAAACGTAAAATAAAACAACAAATTATTGCGTCTACCCCACGTCTACCCTACATCATAGTTTTACATTTTTTAAATAAAATTAGAACGACACTGATAAACCGGAATTTAAGTCGGCCATATTTGAGGCCTATCGCGGTGTACCTAAGATTTTTCATATGCTCCTTCCTTAGTCTTCTTATTCAAAGACTGCTACTAACCAACAATTTGTTTTGTGTGGTCTGTGGTCTATTCTTGTTTAAATGTTTTGTTCATTATTCATGTTGGGCTTTTAATAAGAAGACTAAGGAAGAAGCATATCAAAAATCTTAGGTCCACCGCGATGGGACTCAAATATGGCCGACTTAAATTCCGGTTTATCAGTGTCGTTCTAATTTTATTTAAAAAATGTAAAACTATGATGTAGGGTAGACGTGGGGTAGACTCAAGAATTTTTTTTTATTTTACGTTGTGAATAAATGTTTGTATTTATTAAAATTGTAATAAAAATATATTATTATAATAAAAATAGATAAGTTTTAATAATTATTTATTAACACAAACATCCGATACGCTACTGAAGCAGGTAAGTCAAATTGACGTATCTAAATTCTTTGACATCTAATCTTTGACAAGTAGTAAATAAAAGAAAAAATGCAAGAGAAAATATATAATTAGTTAATTTAAGTGAATTTCATAAATGATCGGTTTACTACACGTATGTATATTATATAGTCACTTACTAGCGAAAAGTTGTTCCATTATTTCACTCGATTTTGCCGAGATCTACCGCACGCTACACAACCAACTATTTTAGAGTCTTTTTCGATAAATCGCGATAGTGTCACTGTTAATTTAAGTTCTGCCACAATTTCCATCTAGATTTACTACCTTTATACAACTATCAGTAGTAGAATAAATAATAAATAACATAAAATAAACTCCGTAAAGACTGACAAATCCACAAAATTTCAAATCAAATTCAAATGTGTCAAATGAATCGTCAAACAGAACTGTCAAGGATCCCCACTCTAGAGTCCTTTTTCCGCCCACCACGCATGAATACACGGATAGCATTATGCTCCTTCCTTAGTCTTCTTATTTAAAGATGTTGGAGATTTATTTTTAAATTAACGTCAATCATTAGGCAAACTCATAAAATAGTTATGTATTTCTTTTGCATAACCAAATTGTCACCCTAAATTGCTGTCTTTTTTAGACAGATGTCACTTGTGTCAGTATTCAATTAATTATTCGAATTCTCAGAATGTTGTTAACAAAAGTTTCATCTTAAAATAAAATTTGAATCAATCACAATTGTTTTTCTCCATCATTTACCGGATTAATAATATAAAGATTACAGTTCAATTACAAACAATTCATTATTTATAGTGATTTACAGTAATTTCATTAAATTATAAAGGATTATACGAATATTCTCGTTGATTGTTGGTTTGAAATTAATATGACAGTGTCCTTCAATGAAAATACGAGTTACTAAGTTAAGTTAAAGAAGTTTTACTTCAATAAATATTTACTTACCTCGTAGCTTATTTAACAAAAAACTTTTTCCACTACCCCACTTAGCATACAGACCCACTGTAATAGGCATGGACAAACTTGGTTCACTTAATATATCAGCGAGGGCGCTACTGTACAGGTCATAACCTAACATATTCTCGTTATCTTCGTTTGTATTCAGTCTCCCTAAAAAATCGACAACGTTGTCACATCTCTATCAGAAAAGAAAAGAACTCTAGATCTTTAATACGATCTCAGAGAAATAAATAAACATAGATATTACTCACTGGCTCCGAATATTTGTCCTAAAATAGTTTTGGGATGGTTCATGTCAATGTTATAGGGTGTTTCACCAGACCTGTTGGGCCTGTATAACAGCTGACTATGCTTGGGGTTTCTTAACAATATCTCCACTATAGCTTTCGATCTGGCTCTCATAGCTATGTGGAGAGCTGTATCACCTTTCTTGTCTGTAGCTGATACTTTTGATTTTTTCTCTAAGAGTAACTGAACAATTTCAGTATTCCTGATGAAAAAAATCATATTTTAAATAAATTATTGAAAAAGTAAAAAATAATATAAAAAGGTCTATGACTTACCTGTTTCTGACAGCTCTCAGTAAAGGCGTATCCCCATCTTTGGTAGCGTGTTCTAAGTCAGGGTTGTGACTTAGCAACAATTTAACTATTCCAACGTTGCCTTTTTCCACAGCTACATACGTGGCAGATTTCCTGTCTTTCCCCAATATGTCTACGTCAGCGTACTTCTTCAACAGAGCTTCCACTACATTTTTGTGGCCACCTTTCACTGCGTGGATCAAGTTAGTGTCTCCAGCCCTATCCTATGGTGCAAATATAGGTTAGAATATCAAAGGATGCGTGTCTGTCACTGTCATACTATTACTGATTCACTAGACCGACGACAGAGTGTTATTAATCATCATCCATGACAGTAGAGTATAACCATAACCTTACCTGTATATTGATGTAAGCTCCTGCAGCCAGAAGCGACGTTGCAATATCGTAGAACCCTTCCTTGCAGGCTATTGTAAGTGGACTGCAGCCGTCTTTGTCTAACGCATTGACATTGGGCTTGTGCTCGAGAAGAACGTTGACAACATCGACGTGGTTGCCATAAGTAGCTACAAGCAACGCTGTCCAGGAGTACATGCCTGCAGTATCTACATTAGCACCTAGAAAAACACATAAAAAACTTAAAAAATCAAAATAAAACAAGAACAAACTACAGACTACAACTAGGTATACAAAAACATAACAAATATCATTATAAACTCTTACCAGCTCTCAGCAACATCTCCACTATCTCCGTATACCCTTTCCTACTAGCCCACACCAATGCAGTGGTGCCATATTTATCTCCGACGTTTACTTTAGCTCCGTGGTCTATCAGGGCTCGGACTATCTCGGTACAACCTCTTCCGGCAGCCCATAGCAAAGAAGAAATGTGGAAATTGCCATGGGCGTTCACCTCAGCTCCTCTGTCCAACAAATGAAGGGCCACGTTGGTTCGACCCTTGTAGGTGGCCCACATGAGGGCAGTCCAACCACCCTGATATGAGAAAGATTATTAAGTACCATAGAATTGAAAAAACAGGTGTTCACTTATATTTAATACATATATTAAAATGCTTACCATATCTCTGTGATCGATATCAGCATGGTGTTCAAGCAGTTGCAGCACTATGTCATAGTGTCCTTCCTTGGCTGCACAAAGTAAGGCTGTCCAGCCGTCGTTGTCTTCAACATTCGGATCGGCTCCATGAGCCAATAGTTCTCTGACAAAAGCACTGCGGCCTTTGGAGGCAGCCACCATGAGAGCAGTGGTTCCATTCTGCAAAAAAAACAAGTTATATAGAAAAAGTCAAATATTTTAGGTTAAACAGACCAAATCAAATTTTCTAAGCACTTACTTCATCTTTATCGTCGATTTGAAATTGCTTGTTCTCCAAAAACGATTGAAGTCCGGGTAGGTTGTCATTGTTGACGAATGAGATCAGCGACTGGAAGCATACTGATACCATGGACTCACTCTTGTGCAGCGTCTACAAACAAATAAAAAATATATAAATAAACATATAAACAGCTAGTACATTTTCGAAAAACCTGGTCATTTTTGGACATATTGTTTCTTAGTAGATAAAACACAACAGGAAAAAAAACAGCCAAAATAAAAAATCAACCAAATGTGAGAGTAAAGTAATTCAAATAAATTAGAATGCTTATGTTAAATGTGATTATGCATAATTTGTTGTTGACATTAAACATGGCATTTAGCGCTAAATATTAGTGCAAATAAAATCTGTAATAGAACCATCCAGATCTTGTCGAATCTCAATTTTTTTTGAAAGTTCGCATTTTTATTAAGGTTATATGCAGTACTTATGTAGTCGTTTTTTGCAGTCAGTTCGCAAGTTAGTATAAAACAATTCTAAAATCACACAAATTAATTCTATAGCCATTCCTTAAGCCCACTCCACACCAAAGATTACATTATGCGAGTGCCTCCTCAACGCCAACCCGAAGCTAAACTTCCTCCCACCACTCTCCCCATCTGGTGACGTCAGCACGAACGACGGCAGCGCCAAATGCGACAGCGACCCCTTCCAACTGGACGACGCGGAGACAGAAGCCGAATGTGGCGTGTTCTCGCCGCTAGATGGCCTCTCCGGTATCTTAAGGCCCAACCAGAAGGGTTTGGACTTGTGCGACGCGTTGGTGACCGGCTGATCGGAGGCTATGCTGTGTCGGGCGGGTCTGGGCGTTGTGGAGGGAGGTGTGGTACCACCTTGCGGTCCGATGGTAAAGCTGGGTCTTTGAAGTTGCTCGGTAGGGGGTAGTGTGGAGGGGGTGGGTGCTGGGGAGCGTTTTGGGGAGTTTTGGTCTCCATCTGTATCCAAGGTATATATACGTCTCAATTAGTCTCCGAAAGACAAACAAAATTCAATAAATTTTTGTATGCTTGGAAAAAATCGAAATAAAAATGAAACTTCTACACCCTGCATCTCTGAAACTTAGTGATGTTAATATTTCAGAAATTTTTGATTGTTGCAGGAAATTTCGGAAACTTTCGGAAATTTATGAAATATTAGGAAATTTTACAATTTTATATTACAAAGGAATAAATTAGATAGACATTTGATACCAACATGTAAGTGAAAAAAAAAAACAATAAACATAATATAAGTTGTTATATTTTTAATAAACAATACATAACCCGTAAAAGTCATAAACATAACCCATAACATCGGTAACATTTGTATTTTGTGCATAAACCACGAACTATGAATATGAATTTAAAAAAAAAACAAAAAAGCACGAAATATAAATTTAAAAAACGTAAAACACAAATAACTGAATTATTCTATTCCGGAATATCAGGCGCCGAACTGGTCCCATCTTCATAGGGTATTATAGTAGTAGTAGTATTGTCTTCGTCAGTTTCTATTTCCAAATCAGATATATTTGATGTATCATCTGGTTCTGATTCTGAAGGATGGACCTCTACCTCCACGAGTTCTAGTGGTTCTGGAGGAATTTCATGTTGTTGAATATCATGCTCCATATCCACTTTTTGTTTTTGTAGTAATAATTTATTGTTATGAGCTACGAACATTATTTTACCGGCTCTTCGGGCAGTTAAGCGATTTTTTTTTAGTATGGATAAAACTGTAAGTACTGAAACTTCTCTCTGTGGCTGCAGATGACGTTGGTAAAGACAGCAGAGCAACAGCTAAATATTTCAACTGAGTATTTTTACACATTGCTTGCCACCAACTTAGACAGTCTACATTTTTAACTGACATCCAAACGTAGTCGAGAGCCCATAAACCCGATTTGGCGCAATCATTTGTTACATCTGTAAAAATGGCTTATTATTGACAAACTGAGGATGATTGTTGGTGATATTGTTGATAAATTCCATAGCGGCTGTGTTCTTCATTGTTAAGGTGCTCTCCCAGGAAACAGGGGTCCAAGAGATTCGCGGCAAAATGCATTGGTTCAAAGCCACAGGTTTTTTTTATTTTGCAAGGCGGAGAAGCATTCTTTTTCTTCTGACTTAAGAATCGGCATACTTGATACACTTTCGTTAAATTTTTGCTCAATGTCTTGAATTTTGAAAAGAAATTTCTTGCAAAATTCGGATTTTTGCGAATATTCGCGATTTTGGGACCGAATATTTCGGAAATTTCTGAAATTTCCTGCAAAATTCGAATGGAAATATTCGCTATCAATATCACTACTGAAACTAAGCATTTTTTCGAACTTTTTTACTTATTTTTATCTGCATTCGGACCATCCTGTACACTAGCATTATAGGATTACTTAAAGGGTCGCTGATATGTATGGAACCGGTCGATTATTGGGTAAAATATACAAGGTACCGCACAAAGTAAGTAAGGTTAAGGGGTGGTAGATCTGAGCAAAAGAAACATTTTTTCTCTTTACCTTTACTTTTTGGAGTTATTTTACTTTGAAAATTTAAACAAAAAATGCTTTTTTGCTTAAATTTTGAGAACCACTGGATATTTTCTGGTTTTTCTTACATGTAAATTTAATCTACTACCTATGTTGGCATATATTATCAAGAAATTATGTTTTTTAACTTAAAACTAAAAAAAAATTCTAAAAATTCCAAATTTTCAAATTTTTTTTTCGCAAAAAAAACACCTCATAGGCGTGTTTTTGAGGCCAAAATATACTACCAGTTAAAATACTCGCATTTATTTCTGGGACACCCTGTAGAGGTATAAAATGCCTAGATTAAAATGAGATTATATCAAGTTTGGAAATTACAAAATTTTCGTTTAACATTTCAAAACCAAAATTCGGTATCTCGGAAACCGTTGGATTGACGTACAATATGTGTATTACAATTTTTGCTTAAAATTGAAGGAAGAATTGAAATACCCAATAATATATAGAGGGTTTCATTTAAAAAATGAATCTCTGTATACTTAAATTTATTACAAGATATTAGGTACTTAAAAAATCCTACAACTTTTGTATTTAACTTTTTGCAGGACCTCGTACACTATACCCAATAATCGATCGTTTCCATACATATCAGCGACCCTGTATATGAGTAAACCACAACTGGCAAATAAAATGCGACATCAAAACAACAAACTATAGCTGTCACTATTATATTTGTTTGCTGGACATACATAACTTTGCAAATAAATGTTTTAAACTATTTTTAAATGCTATTGTTTTTAAATAACTAATTAGCGGCAAAAAGTAATAAAAAACGCCATCGATTGCTAGTATAAATATAGCATTACAGATTCGCAATACAAAGATTTTCTTATTACAAAGTATCCTTGAAAAAAAAAATGTTACATTAAAAATAATTTTAACACAACAAAAATATATTACACGTCTTAAATAAATACATTTCTTAATTGTTATTTTATTCATAACATTATATTATTATAATATAATTATTCTTATGGAAGCCCTTGATAAATCAGCAACACTGTAAGGATGTGAGCTGATAATATCTAACAGTAAGTAGTTAACAATCGCAATTTCCAAAAAAAAACACCTGTTCTGTATAAACAAATAACAACTCATTACCTGTCCATGTTGAACATTAAAGATTCTTGTCTTGTTTTTCCCAAATACTCTCGAAGCCATATATAAACCCAACACTATACTCTGGCAGTAGTCTCATCACTGAACAAAGCACCAAGTTACAACAAATTAAAAAACAATCTAAATCCAATCTCAGATAATAAAAAAATAAATCAACTTAGTCCTTGCAGAATCTATATGAAGATCCTAAATCTATAATATTCCTATTTGTTTTAGATTGTGTGGTAAATAATCCTAACACACAATAAACTTTTATCGTGTATGATTTTGGATTAGGGAGCAAAATCGCAGAAAAAAATCCGAAGGATGTAAATCGGGCTGTACCGTGCGTTGTGTACTATTGTCAAACAAAAGCCGATGTGTTTAAACACAAACAGCTGAAAATGATTATTATGCTGTGGAACAATTAAGTATAATTGAAGCGAATAAATAGGCAAGCTGTGACGTGGTAAGCGTTTGGCTTGTCTAAGTTTTATTGCGTTACTTAATTATACAGTTTTGATAAGATCGGATTGGTGTATACAGGCAAATATACAGTAGAAAATTCCATACAAGGATACTATGTATCTATGTACTCAAATACTGTATATCCTTCTAGCTGTACTGATTTACAAAATATAGGCACAATAAACCAGATTAAATAAGAATGTATAGTTCATTTATCCAATAAAATTGTCATTTGACAATTGCGACTGTGTTCTGAGTGTAAAATAAACAAAATCGGAAATTTTCCCCTTGCGGTTTTTGAGCAATAGGGGTGGTTTTTTTAAACTACTACAACAAAATAATTAGACGCAAATTGTACATAAGAACATTCTCTATAAGTTCGCCTAATGAATTTTTTTTATAAGTTTATTATTTCCGGACTTAGCGGCCGTTTCATGAGCCCTTTGGGGTGGTTTTCAAAAAGTTTGTTTTACAGCAAATTGACCCTTATGAAAGTTGTTCATAATAAATGGACAAGCAACTTTTCCTCATGATTTTTTTTGTAGCTTGATTATTTTTGGATATAGCGTCCAGTTCATGAACAAATTGGGGTAGTTTAATAATTTTTGTTTAGTTCTACAAATTTACCAACTTAAAGGTGTTCATATTAAAATTACATACAAACATCCCTATGATATGTATTTATTTCCCCAAAACGAAACATGGAATTCATCAAGTGAACGAATATTATGATTTTTTTTTATTTGTATCGTCTTCTTTTGGCTCCAATAATAGTCAAGTTACAAAAAAGTTCATAAGGCAAAGGCATATGTACAGTACATCTGCTGGATCTGTGTCTATGAAAGGAATGCGGACAAAAAACATTTAAATAAACAACAATATATTTTATTCGTCGACTTGACGAGTACGTCACCGCAAATCGCTCCGCCCACTCATTTTATTGGCTACTTGCAAATTTGTCGAATTTTTATTGATGAGACGCGTCGTCTATTTTTTTACGAAAAACATTGAGAGAATATCGTTTCCCCTCTCACGGATACCCGGTAGCTATAGAACGGATAGACGTACTGTACTCTTATTTAGAACAAGTTTTCTAGGGTGAATTTGCTGAAAAAAGAGTAACATTGAAAACTACCCCAATTTGTTCATGAACGGGACACTATCGAAAAATAATCAAGCACAAAAAAAATCATGAGGAAAAGTCGCTTGTCTTTGTTGTTTATATTTAATAAAAACTAGTATTTGTATTTACTTACTACAAATGTGCCATCACAAAAAGTCAAATATATGAGAATAACCTTGGACATTAAACTCCTCTGGAATAGACATATTAAGAACAGTTCCAGCTTCCAGCAAAGCCACAAAGGCTCTCATGACATGCAAAAGACTGGCGGGAAATAGATAACATTTAGCGCTGTATATACCGTGCTGGCAACTGTTACTTTTGGGTCGGCATTTACATGTGTGGAAGTAAATCTTATAGGGATCTTATTAAGTCGGAGTGAGAAAAATGCGACCGACCGACGCGACGCGCGGCGGTGTGCTGTTGCGACGTTGCCGATACGCCTTTCCCTATCAAGTAAAGTAAAATCACGATCGCAAACCGCTTATTTTTATAAAAAAAAATTTCAAGAGATGACTAGTTATGAAACATGTCTAATGATTTTATCTAGATAAAATCATTAGACATGTTTCTAAGCATCTGAAATGGAATTATAAGGATATCGTTAGGGTGTCATTTCTTTTATAACGAGAAAACGTCAGTAATCGCGATAATTTATAAACTCAAGTTTTTAACACATAACAGGCCTACAGGCCATAACTCAAGAACCATTTTAGATATTGAAACTTTTTTTTATTTTCAAGATCGGATATTTTACAATATGTTTACATAAGAAAAATTCGATAAGGTTGTTTTTTCCATTCAAAAATTGTAAACAATCCATCCATTTACTTTTAGAGCATAGCAATTTTCAGCAATCGGCAAAGATTTTCACATACTGTCTACAAGGAAAATACAGCAGAAATATTAACAAAGTTCTTGAAAAAACTACAATCTATTATTTCTAATAGATTTCGAGACATCAATTTTTGAATTCAGAGTTCTAATAGCGCGATCACTATCGAACACCCACTCAATTCCACTTATTTTTACCAAAAATGCAAGTGTTTCTAGCTTGCACTTAAAAAAAATCAAGCTATAGGGAAAATTACAACGACTCGTTAATAAATAAACAAATCAAGTATCACGAGACGTAATTAAATCGTGAAGCTGAACGCATGACGTACACCTTTCCCTAGAACTTTAAGTACTGACAGAGGTATTGATTGGGTCGACCGGTCAACTGCGACAAATCTGTTATATCCCCTTCCACGTCTCTTAGCGATGTGCACAGTTTCTCGATTTATTTCATACGTTTGGCAACGTGTTTACTGTCCTCTCTTTGTTCAGTACATTATAAACGCATTGTACTCTTCTTACATACGGAAATCTCGACCCAAGACTAACCTTTGCCAGCCCTTAGTATACCATGATAGTAAGCTCCATGATTACTTATGGGCCAGTTGCTTGGTACACAAAACTAAAGCAACGTACAGCAAGACAAAGCCTGTGCAAAAGGTAGAGAATGGCATGCATCTGCATCACAGTAGCTATGAAAACCTGCCCTACAGCAGCAATGGAAATCATTCTAGACCCAACACCATTGCACATTGTCATTGGTAGATATGCCAATGCAAGAATGATTAGAATTGTCACTGACGAAAACAGTACTGGCAAAATTGTCAGCTTGGAAAACCCTCAAAAGGAACATTCTACTCCTCCATTCAATTTACAATCTACAACACCCACCTGATTGCTGGCATGTCTACTAGTACTGGCCCGGACAAACTCGAAATATGGCAACAGCGATCCGTAGCTGGCCGGCCTCCCGATCATCAACGAGGCGCGTTCGGAACATTTCGGCCCGTTCCGTCTACGTTCCGCACTCGACGAACTGCTAGAACTGCTCAGTTTTGACATTTGACAGCGAAAAAGACCGCGCGATTCGAATTTACACCGTAAAATCAGCGGAAATGCACTAAATAAGTTAAATTTTAACACAATGAGTGAATAATTGTATTCTTAAGCTGATAACACTAATTCTCGTAAGTAGATAAATGTACAGAGTGGTCAAATAACACTAGCTCGACATAAAAACAGTGTTTTTGTAGATGTTTCACGACAATTAACTTTTTTGGGATTCCCGTAAGTTTATATACGCTACACAGTGGTCAAATAACACTAGTCCGACCTAAAAAACACTGTTTATGTAGATATTTCATCACAACTAACTTTTTTGGGATTCTCGTAAGTTTATATACGCTACACAGTGGTCAAATCACACTAGTCCGACCGAAAACACACTGTTTTTGAAGAGATTTCAACACAATTAACTTTTTGGGGATCATAACGAATTAAAAAAATAAAACCAAACAATTTTAATCGAGAATGAACGTTCTGTGTGCACTAAAACACGAAATGAATAAATGTTGTTGTAGGTTTCCACTCAAGAAGCTTCTTTTTTTGATAAGAATTTATCGATTAAAGTGTATCAACACACAGTTCAATAAATACATACAACATACTTATTGGAATGATCGAAATTGTTACAAATATAGTACTAAAATATTTACTCTTACACAATTCACTCTTCTGGCATTTTCTAAATTAGTACGTTTTATGATAATAATTCTTATTTGGAAAATAAAACAAATATAGAACATTATAAACAATAATGGTTAACCTTAACCTACTGTAAGGAAATAGTATATTTTTTTCTTTCCTCAGTGAAAAAAGTAAACATTGAGGTGTCCTAATAATCTGAATAGCATTGCTTTGTAGCATAGAAGAAATGTATAAAAGATAAACTGACTATACAGTATGTCCATGGATTGCAAGACTTTACAAAAGGAAATTTTTTTTATTGACATTTTCAGAAAAATGCTTTCTTCATTAAAATTTTTGCTTGTTCTAAAATGGATAATCCCGAATATACTTTTCCAAATTTCCATACCGTTTTAGAGAAAATTAAAAAAAAAATGAAAATATGGTTGATTTGTTTGTTATTGATAGAATTTTAATTAACGTCATATTTTTTGCCGTTCTAAAATGTTGAGGAAGTACAAAATTTATTTAGTTCAATGCTAGGAAAAGAGTGATAATAGTTATCGGAAAAAGTGATACTTTAACAACAACAAAAAATATGATTTAATCAAAATTTTAATCATATTAATAACCATATATCAAAGAATGAAACCTAAATTATACTGCGATATAAACGCTTTTTGATTTTAGGACTTTAGGAAAAAATTCGACTGTATTTTCATGTTTTTTTTTTAATTTTCTCTAAAAGGGTATGAAAATTTGGATAAGTGTTAACGGTTTTAAAGAATATATTTTTTTGTAAATAGAAGAATATATTTGGTAATTATTGGGAAAACTGGAAATCGTCCCAAAATTGGGTATACAGCCTATTTTGAAGTCGTAGATTACGAATCTGAACTTTTTTCTTGGCGGTCTCTTACCGTTTTTCAGAAAAAAACGGAAAATTATTTCAACATCGAATTTTTCTTAATTTCTCATATTTTTAAGGTTTTCTAGCACATATTTTGTTAGGTATTCAATAAACAATGATGTTATTGCTATTTTCTGTTACTTTTTTAACCAATTCTATGCATAATAAATTTGCTAAAATAAATTTGTAAACAATTTGAAAATGTTGGGTTATGTGTTTCTGGCATTTAAAATAACATTGCCAATGCTAAACCTAAATTTAGCGTGTTTTTTTCGCTCATTCTGGGATTACGAAAGGCGGTCGCCAGAAGAACGGCTCCTTCCCATAATTGCTATTTTACCAACGAGATCTGACTATTTATAACCACGAAGTTGCACGAAAGAGTTTTGATTGCATTGGCCAAAAATTAGATTAACCCCCTCCGCAAAGAAGTTAAAACCAATGCAATCAAACTTCTTTGCGCAGGGGGTTAATCTTTTTTTGATATAATATAACAACAAAAGATTAACACCCTCCGCATGGAAGTTGTAACCAATGCAATTAAAACTCTTTCGTGCAACTTCGTGGTTATAAATTTAATAATAAAAACAGAAAACAAATAAAATAACAAAAAAAAGATACCCCCTCCGCATAGAAGTTGAAACCAATGGAATCAAAACTCTTCCGCGTAACTTTGTGGGTATAGATAGGTATATTTAATTATTGTCGATCTCATAATAGGAAATTTATTTAAAATCCCTAATCACCCGAAAAAATATGGCAACGTTGTAAATTTTCAAATTTCTAGATTAGGTCTAGAATATATTTGTCTCTCTCATTACATAGGAGAGAGAAAGAAGAATATATCAAATGCCAAACTTCTATCTGGTCTCAATTTTCTTTGCTATTTTGTTAAGAAAAGTGTTTTTCAGTAAAATTTTGGACATTTTTCTGTCCCCAATCAAGTGTGGCTTTTAGATAAACTATAATATAATGAAAATATAGTGAAATTATTACTTTATAGGGCCGAAATAACGAAAAATTCAATGTTGAAATAATTTTCCGTTTTTCTGAAAAACGGTAAGAGACCGAAAAGAAAAAACTTCAGATTAGTAATCTACGACCTCAAAATAGTGTGTATACCAATTTTGGTGAAGATCGGACGATTTCCAGTTTTCCCAATAATTACCATATATTTTTTTGTAAATGTCCTACACTAAAAAATTTTTCCTCTTGTAAAGGCAATTCTCTATTTTTACTTATTTCTCTATGAATTTTCGCGTAGCTTATTTTAATCAGTGTATATTGAGATAACATCTTTGACGTACACCAACCAAGTGACAATAATTTTAGTGATAAGATTACTAAAAACTGTCTGGAATGTCTGGTGATTATATCATATCACAATTAGGGTTGTGCCACTTGAAAATTTCAAATGAAATTTTCATGTCGCCAACTTTTCCAATGTGAAATTTTCACTATTTTAAAAAAGTGAAATTTCATTGAAATTTCAAGTTAAAATTTCAATTCGAATTTTTCAGCACAGAGGTGAGATTTTCAGAAATGTATCGTGAAATTTCAACTTACAGGTGAAATTTCAAGTGAAATTTTCATAAACATCGCGAATTCCTTTATCGTGTTCGTATGTTGACCGTATCGACGTAGTAGGTATCGATTGTTGATTTGCTCGATTTGGTTGCGCGTCTGTAGAGGACCGGCGCTTGATCTTGACAAATGAAAAACCGCAGTAGATAGATAGAGGTTATGATTTTCGTTGAAAATGTTGATGTATTATTAGATTTGTTATTTTTGTGCATTTTTTGTGTTTCACATTTCATAAAGTTTATTCTGTGACCTGTTTCTCTATCTGTGAGCTGTGTTCTGTGTTGATTGCAATTTTTACAGAAATAATGGTTAAGCCCAAAAATAGTATTTGGAAATATTTCTCTAATGATCAAAATAATACCAAAAAAGTAAAGTGCATATTTTGTAATGAAATTCATTACATAAATGCAACTCGTTTAGAAAAACATGTAAAATTTTTTATAAATACGCCGAGATCCATTAAATTACAACTAAAAGGGACCACCTCGAGAACAGCTAAAAATAATGACGTGTTTCACCATACACCAATTATTCACCACCTCATTTTTATGATTTTTTTTTCAAAATTTCATAATTTTCATGAAATTTCAGTGAAATTTCCAAGGTGAAATATTTAATTGTCAATATTTCAGGAAATTTATGAGATTTTCATTGAAAATTTGAAATTTTGAAATTTTCACTGAAATTTCCAAAATTTCAATCTTTCAGTGAAAATTTCATAAGAAATTTCAACATAAGGTGAAAAATGAAATTTACCCATCCCTAATCACAATAATAATCTACAAATAATATTTAAAACTCAATACATAATATCAAAATAATAAACTTTTATTATTAATTTACTTTTAAATTTTAGATTTTTTTAAATAAAATACCTCTTGTTGGTTTTCCATTTCAATTTAATATAATACTGTTGCTAATTGACTTACAAATCTATATCAATAATTTATTAAATCGCATCTATGTTTGTTTATTTCTCTGGAAAATATACACCTATGTATTATCCTGGCGCATTCGCCAAAATTTGCAAATTTATAAATTTCCAAAAAAAACATGCTGTCAACAATTTAGGTCAAGATTTTAAATAAAGCGTGATAATAACATCTAATTTTATCGATAAACTTTATGCTGAAATAATTTTTCTTCATTATGCACGTTAAAATATATATTTTTTAAATAAAATTAGCAGATAGATACTTAAAAAAAATTTCAAAACCAGCTAGCAAAATATTTCTAGCAAAAATATACAATACACAAAAGTATATATTAAAAAAAACACATCTTTTTACCTCACTATTTCTACTTCTTGTTCGAAAAGACAGATCCATCCATCTTGTCGGTACTTGCCTATAAACAACTCCCTGTCCTTCAACTTTAGCAGTACTTTTATGCGACATTTTCCATATATTCACATCACAGAAAAAAATAAAAACACTTTTCCTAATATTTCAAATAATTACACCAAAAGAAAATACAATTTTTCTGCTTCGTGTACTAATAAATCAAGGTTTTTGATAATGATAACCACATCAAGAGAGGCAATAGTTTTTTAAAAATCATTATCTAAACAGAGATAACCGAAAAGCACTCGAATTTTGACAAAAACGTATTAATTACATTAAAAAAACGAGACAGAAATATGTCATAGACGTGCTAAATTCAAAACTAAACAACAATGAAACACAGAAATGTTTTTGTTTAGACATGACTGGGCTTGTGCATAGGTAAGAGTTGATAAATACATTTTTACTGCTTAGTATTTAGTAATGGTTTAACTGGAAGTATTTGCTAAAGAGTGGGACTATTATAAACGTTTTTATCTCACTCATAATTGTTTAAAATTCATAAAACACATTTTACTATCTGCAAATAGAGGAAATACACAGTGTGTAATAATTTATCATTCACTAGACATTCATTTTAGCAAGCTCTTATTGGCAAACCTCCACAAAACCACCAAAAAAAAAAATAAAATAAATACTTCAATGACACTTTTATTTAGGTACTCTCTATATTTAAATATATGTAACTCTAATTATATTCATTATACTATAAATAAGTCTGTCTATACGACGTATAAAAATACATTTAAATTATTCTTTCCATGATATCACTTTTTGAAATGTTTATGACAGCTTATAAAATTTAAATGGGACACATAATTATTGGTAACAATAAAAAATAATGTTATCAGTCCAAATAAATTGACACGGGTGTATCAAAAATTGTTTATTATTCAGCACATGCCAATAAAAATTACGGGAAAAGAATGTTGAGATTACAGGAATAATAATAATCAAAGAATGTTATCAGGAAAGGCACTTAAAACCATGTTGTGATAAGAACATATTAAACCAAACCTACTTCCAATATTTTTCGAGTAT